TACCGAGAGAAAACCTACACATCAGTGTTCGTGCTTTCAAAGGTCCAGGTGGCGTAGATCTTACTAACTTAGAATTAATAAGTTCCTTATACCACTTCAGCCACCTGTTAAGCCAAGAAACCAAAATTCAGAGAACCATTCGAATCTAGTGCCAATTGAGTGGCCAAACGAAAATACGAATTACTCCTGGCTTAATAGTAAAAAAACTAAAATCCTTGCATCAAGTAAAGTAATCATGACATGACGACACTCACATCGTAATCTTGAAATAATTTATGGAACCCCATTTTCACTGGTGTGTGATCTGTTCATGCAATAACTGAAGTCATCCTACTTCCCAGCTCAATAGCATCAAGCTACTCTCTCCTGCCTTCGTAGGATGAGATAGAAGACAGTCAACCTGTCTCAGACCAGTTTCATTACTAACAATACTAATGGAGGTGATGGAACGACTAGTGAATGCGAAAAAGAAGGAGTACATAAATACGAAGTCTTTGTTTTTTTGTACTAAACACCACCAAAAACAAGATTGAGTACTTTTGATTATGTTAACATGCAAGCGTGTCTATATATTCTGAGTCAAAAATTACTAGATATGTGATTTAAATGAGTAGCCTAGAAGCTAGCCAAATTTTGGCGTCAGCTCTCAAGGATGTTGATGAAATTTTGAAAGGTAAAAAGCACAAACAGTTCAGTTTACCTTAATCTAGTCAGTGAACACGAGTTGAATGAGTTCCATGGAGCTGGGACAACAAGTAAAAATCAAGATAAATCGCCAGATATTTCAAGTCAGGGTATTAGAGGAATATCTGAAAGTGAAAGCGGAAATCATAAAGCAGTATCTTTTGATGCGACAGATATTTACAGGACCGGAAAGGAATTTTCTGTTCTCAATAATAGACTTCAAAATTTCATTGATAAACTAAGTCATTCAAGGCGCATGTCTAGAGTTCACACATCGGAATATCAGGCTTTGGATTTCGGACTCACAGAGAATAATTCATCTGATGTAATTCAAGTACGTCCCTACCACCTTCTATTGAAATCGATATATAATTATGTGCTTCTGCTCATATGTTTCTAGCTTTCACTCTTAAGGTTGTAGCACCTTGTGGTTTTCATTAAGGCTAAGCAAGGCTGGTCGGATGAACTTTTAGCTATTAGAGGGGATCTGCACGACTGAAGCGTGTTCACAGACTAAAATAATGCCAGAAAATTTGTACCAGTTGTATCTGATGTATCACTCTTGGTTATTTTTCTCAACTATGACTAAAATTTTAAATCTATTAGATAAGCTTAGAACAGCCCAGCACAATAACTTGTTATTTTCAGAAACATTGTTAAACGTATGGCTTTCAAAGCTTTTGTCATGCCGGTTCATCATAACTTATTTTGTAAAGGTCCAAGGTTGATAGTATTGTCAAATAACACTTTGTTATAAATATAAAACATGATTTTGACGTAAGATTTTGAAGATTATATCTGCTGGACAAACCTACTGGTAAATTTATTCATTACTTACAACATTTCAAGTGAACCAAAATGAACAGTATGTATTCATAAAACAGGTTGTATGTAAATATTTCTTAATTGTACTAAATGCTGCACGTCAACAACAAGTACCACTGATTAATAAAACTATTTGTGATCTACTTTTATCATTTTAAACCTTTTAACTTTCGATACTATGATTCAAAAACATCACAAAACTCAATGGGCATCACTGTAAGAGTATGGGCCCATCTACTGACCGATTCTTCTAGAAATATGGTACAAAGGTATGGTAAAAATACTAAGACATTTACATGTACTTGACAAAAGGACCTTAAGTGAAATTAATTGACTATTGCATAGAAGAATTGAATTTGAATCATGCAATCATGAAATTATACTACCAATTATTTTGGTTCATGGCTGATACCTTGTAGTCATGTTATCATAGTGTAAGATATATTTTTAATTCTGGATAAACCGTACGACAAGAAGCCTAGGTAAATGTTTCGGATAATAATATCGTAAAGTGGATAGTTATATTCTGTACCTGACATACTATCTGTAATATCTCTACTACTTCGTTATAGTAAAGTTTATAACAGTATCTGACCAAATATTAGTTGACCTAGAAATTTTATGTTAAACGAATGGGATTTTTGCATAGATTGATCTCATCACCGTAAGCATAATTATAATGCAAAAAGTGCTAAAAATATCTATAATAAAAATAATATATATACTTGTTATGGCAATAATTGGTACATAAACACGAGAGTGTAATGTTCGACCTGCTATTGTATCGTTATTATTTTTCGTGAATTCTGTATCAAAAAACCTTTAAGCATTAATTCATAGCCTTTTATTTACTGATCTTATCTGTTAAAAAAATGCTTAGCACTTTTGTTTTATTGCTTAATATTCTTAAGAATTTGTTTTATCGATCAAAAGTTAACATAAATAGATTAATTTAATCTACTGGCTAGAATGAGCCCGTATTTTGTAGAGAAGCTAGAAGTCACTGATTCTGACCTACTACTTGATAATGAGCTCAGTTTTTAGGTCAAGCTTAATTATGATATGAACTCCGTGAAATAGTTATTTATTATTATAGAGAAAGTAAGATATTTCAAACTGAGTTTGTGTTCTGCAATATACGGTTGTTTAAACAAAGTGTCAGATGTCAGAAAAGCATCTTATTATTTACTCTGTGGCATATATATATATATATATATATATATATATATATATCATTACATATGACGCCTCAACCTATTTGAATAACATGTTTAATTAATTTTTGACGGCAAGTTTAATCCACTAAATTCAGCTCTTCTTATGTTGGAAATTTTATGAGTAAATTAACTGCGTAACAAGAAAACATTCGCAAACTAAAATCCTAGAAAATTGAGAAATTACGTCCCTCGCAACAGTTTCTTTTTAAAACCGTTATAGAAAGTTTACGGTTAGCCTTATCTCTATGGATTACTATTACACTTAGAGTATCCACCTAGTTGGACGTTGATTGAAGTCATTAAACAAAAATCGATCATTAAAGTTAAAAGTTTGTGAATATGAAAGACAAGGTAAGGTGTTCTCATTTTTGGAATATGAATTCAAGTTACTGCTTAATTTTTGGAATATTTCAAGTGTTAATTTAATGTCTCATTCAGCTTATATCACACTTCTGAATAAGCCTAACCCTGATGCTGAGTAGTTAATAGTTAGATTGTGTGATTCTTGATGTTTAAACTGATATGTTGGAAATTACTAAGTTTGGAAACTGATTATGCCGTTTTTCAGTGTTAGACAATAATACAACTGAACTAACAGGTAAGATTAACTCAGTTTTAAGCTGACAGAAGAGTATACGCAATTTCACACATAGGCATTTTGATACCATATTGTGATTCAATATCGTTACCTTCTTCCTTAGACCGTGTCATAGAGTCTTTATACAATGCTCGAAGCGAAATGTATAACACTTCGAATTCTCTTGTCTGTCTAATTTAACTAAGTCACAAGGAGATGAAATAGCCAACACTTTTGAACATTACTACAAAACTGTCAACTATTAAGTAGTAAACAGAATTGTTTAACGTTTTCGAAGGTCATGATTAACTAGACAACCATTAAAAACCTGAGAACATTGAAAAGCTTGTTCGCCCTTCTAATTTAGGGCTAAGTAAGAGGTATCAACTACTGTTTCTAAACCCAGGAACTGAACCAAGCACTCTTATGTATCATAGAAAGCACGTTTCAAGAAAACCGGTCCAAATTTCTTGATTCAACTAGCTCGCAATATTATGCAACAATCATGTAGTGATATAATTGACGATGATGTTTGCTTCTACCATTGCAACTCGAGCCTGAACTTTGGTAGGTTCTAGTTAGAAGTGTCTAACATAGAGATTCAGTGCTGCACCGCCTTCAGTAATTGTTTAGCTGAAGTCGACTTTCTATATCAACTATCCCATCGAACTTACCGTTCCAATCGGCTAAAAATCAAAACAAGCCTAGTTTTTTTTTATCTTGAAATTAAACTGTAGAGCAAGTCAATACTAGGAATCACTGACATGGTTTCAGAGTTTGTTTGAACAAATAATATGATAATTTAAAGCTAAAAAATATAACACTTTTGTTTAACATCATAAATACTTCAAATAATCTGCTTTGCTAACATAAATAAGTCCCACTGCTTAGTTTGTCTCTTTTCATATACATATACGTCCATTTCGTTTGGTTAGCAAGTTAATATAAGATTTCATTTTATTATACAAACTCAGATTAACTAAAAAAATAAAGTTGAATACTTATTTGTACATATGTGACTTCATCGTACGGTGGAGTATTGTTGCAGTATATTTTGATGGATGGTTGCACAAAATAATTCCATCAATGCTAAGTTATAATCTGACTTTGGAATATCGTTGCAGTTTAATATATTTGGTAATTTAATGAAAAAACAAGGAAAACCAATAATAACTGCTTCTTGCTAGTTCAAGTTACGAGTATAACCTTTGATGGTTTTGATATAAAACAACACAATCAATTTATTCAGATTCGTATAAATAACTATGCATTTCATACTATAGACTAACTTTGCTTAGATAATCACTGAAAAGTAAGAAACACCGAATAGTTTTTCTCTAATACTGGGCACCTCCTTGACAACATATATCCAGGACTGCACCAGAAGTCTAGCCTAAGACATCGAGGTCCTACATGCTTGCACCACCAAAATGGTATTCAGTTGTTCAGTTCCACTTTCAATCCTCTGGTGTCATTAGTGCCAACTGTCTTACACCTGACATTGTTGAACTTCACTGGTCACAGCTTCTCACGAACTGTTAGACTGAATCGTACTGATAGATGCAATCTGACTCGTTGTAGTCTGAATAGTCGTCGTGACTAGTGGTTTCAGATGTCGGGAGAGACCTCTCAGAATTCGTTTCTGAGCCCCAGACACACATATTTCATATGTTCTCTTACCCAGTGGTTTTCAAATTATTCTATAATTTCTACTGCACAAATTCATTCAGCTTGATGGTCTGTTAATATCACCAAATCTGATTATACCTATATTTCTTTGTTATTCATCTTTCTGTATATCTTATGACAAACTTGATACATATACACATGTTTAAGGTTTATTCGTTGCTTTCTGTTGACCTGAGATTCATACTTGTCCACCTTTTAAGATATTGAGTATAAATTCTGGATCTGATGTTCCTCAATCGTTGCACTGTTTTATTATTTTCAAATAATCAGTAAATTTGACAGCATCATAAATTGAATTCCATACGATTATATTTTAATCATATAATAATTAATATCATTAATACAATTTTTCTAAATTCTTTCAAGCTCCCGGCCACACGACCTACTAAATTAGACTTAAATGTTATTGAACAACCTCAACAAATTCAATCTCCCTACATATTGTCCTCAAATGAACATAATCCATATTTCAGTGATAAAGGTCTTCATCGACGAATTATTAAACTACAAGAACAAATACAAGCACAAGCTAATCGTATTGCAGAATTGGAAAAAGATGGAAATCCAGTAAGTTAAATATAGTTTTATTTGCTAATGATATTTTTTTCATTGAGGTTTTTGTAAAGATAATGAAAAAGGTTTTGCAAATGTTGTATTCTTTGAGCCAAATGGTTAAGTCAAATAATTAAGGTAGTCTCGATAAAAGACCACATAGTCAAAGATCGAATTAGGAAAGAACAAAATCAATCATGATCAAATATACAAACAACAAATAAAAAAGTCAGTTATTATTATAACCAACAAAATTCCATGCTGATAAAACAAAGTGTATATATCACCTTCATGGTGCTTATTAAACTTTATAGTTTGCATCATTGATGATCATGACAATCAAAACTTCGCAGTTAAACCAACCAGCCTAAAAAACAACTTGTTCAAGTGGCATATTATCCAGTCAAATGTTTTATAACGAGATTTTATGTATTTTTAGGATAAATTTTGTTACACAGTGATATCGATATAAAAACAAATGAAAATGCGGTTTAGTTGGACTACCATTTCAGTCGAAATCACAAAATCTGAGCCGTGAAAACGTAGCTTAATATGAAATAATATACAGAATTCTCAAGTTTCTAGTCTACATTTTCACTCTTACTTGATTTTATATGTATGTATGTATGTTAGCTAGTGGTGGAGTCCGGAAAGAACCTTTGATCCTATTTTAGATTCAATTTTTATAAGAACCTAAAATGCAGTATTGATATTCTTACTGAAACTAGAAATGAGTATATTTCGCTTCAACTATCAACTTGTTATCCAATGAGTTTCAGAGTTTAGTTAACACTAACTTTTCCAGCAGAACTGAAGATATTAGGAATAGTTTGCGATTGAATATGGTTGACATTTAGAAGCGCAACCGATCACTCGCTTCTGCTATAGGGGCTTCCCGTAGAGAATAACTCCATATTGGTCGTAGCCACTAATAACCACTAATTAACCATTGATGACTTTCGTATCGTGGACCCCAACCAGGTAGCCTACATCTACCAACATGACTCAGTCCAGTTGTCGTTAACTTCATGGATTTGTGCAATTTTTGGTTTGTCCGCCCATAGCTTTCTTCCGACCTACTCCTACTCCACAAAACATAGCTTGGCGAGGCAATCGGCGGTTGGGCATTCATAACACATTTCCCAATCACCTCAACTGTTGAAGTTGCAATACTTCATCTACTGATTTGTCATCCTTACCTAGTATTCGTTTCTTAACAACAGCATTGCTTACTCGGTTGTCCTAGGATACACGAGCAATGTTTCAAAGACACCTATGATCGAATACCAAAACCTACCAATATCTTCAACTTTTAATGGCCATACTTCGCATCCATATAGGTGAAAATAATAATGTAAGGTTAACATATTTGTCATTGATTTCTGTGGAGCAGTAGCCTAACAGTTTTATACACTGTGGAGCATACTCAAGGATGATATCCGACTGACCAAAAGTTAATGATGACGTAGAATTTTATAATGGAATATGATTTGTGTGATTTATTATTACAGTAATTTGCGAGAAATTGATATGAATGGATTAAAATAGCAAAATTTAGTTAATATGAAATTGTTGGTCAGTATGACATAGTTAATACCTATCCTCATAATAAGTCACAGATTAATTGACGTTGAATGCCACTCAGTTCAAATTATACAAATCTGACTGTTAATTTGATTTCAAATAAATTTCATAGAAAATGTAGTGTTCAGGACACTTGTCTGATTTATTTTTGAAGTCAAATAAATATTTATCTGCCATCTTTGCGTGTTTTACTTGAATCGTACGAGTATCATGGCTTCTTAGAACTAGGTTAGATAACCATTACCAACTGTCTAATCGTTAAGAAAGCTTAAAAATGTATCACTACGGTAGTATTTGTATTTGTCACTTCTCTAATATTCTCATTTGTTAAACTAAAGACAATAATAATCGAATTCATATAACAAATATATTGGGTAATTAAAAATAAAATGTTATATGAGCAAGAGAAATCTAAATCACTTAAGGAAGTGTATTAATGTAGATTAATCTGTGTTTAAAAATGCAACAAAGAAGGCATAGATTTTGATTGCCCACAAGTTAAAGCGTGCTATTAATGGAGAACGCAGTATATTCTACGTTGAAATAATGCTACTATAATCACAGATCTATAGTATTGAACAGAGAGAGAATATGATCACTTACAATTTATTCACCAAATACAAATCTGTGTACAAAATTTTTTCTTGCAAGCTGATAGACTGTACTCCTCGGCCACTGTAATTAAAGCGGACAGTGTAAAGGGTGAACCTGTTGCACTGACTAGAAGTCAACAACAGCAACTACGAATTAACTCACAATATTATTCACTGTTACATCCATTTTAAAGTTTTCTTTAAACTTATACGTTGGACGACATTTAGAAATAAATTTCAGACAGACATCACACGATCTTTCTGCTTTTTCAATATGTGGAACTAAATATGTGACATTGATTAGAGTTAGAAAATAATTGATTTGATGAATCGATTCATGTTTGTGTACAAAATGGAATCACTAGTGAATTATAGAGATTGTTTAGGTTAGCAAGCAGAAAAATAATTACAAATATTCTGTTAAAAGAGGTATGATTATCCTCCCAAGTGAGTTGATGTTTTAATGAAATCTCGGTTTAAATTCATAGGGCTTGATTAGTTTTCATCGATTCGTGGACTGAAAGAAATATACGTGTGTCGACTAAAGGCATTGCATATTGTGCAGCAGTTTGCAATGAAAAATGGAGCAGGAGTAGGTTACAAGAAAACTAGAGGTGACCATACCAAGACAGGGCATCAGTTCATAAAATCACTGGCTGCTGACATGAGCTCTGTGTGATTGCCGTAACCAATGGTTAGAGACTTTAGGTAAAATGGCTGTTAATCTCTTGCAGTAACGCTACAACTACATTCACTCTTTGTCTTCCCTTAAGCCCAAAGTTTAACACTTGTGACATTTTTTAAATTTCAGTTATCAATGTTTTCCTCTTAAATCTTATCTTTGATGCTTAATCTTTTCTATTGCCATTAATGATATTACTACCACTGTTATTCTGGGACTTGCCTTGACTAATTCATGTCTCCAGGGTAGTGGGATGTGGTGATTCGGAGCGATATACAAATGTCGAAGATTTTAAAATACATATAGCTTATTAACAATCATACAGCGCCTTAACTGTTAACAGAGTAGCAGTAGAAAATTTACAAATAAAATGTGTCATAATTAGTTTGAATACACTTTTGTCTTGAACGCAAGAGGAAATTCTAGATTATTTTGTTTGCTCACGTGTTTCAGAAGTCAGGACCGGATAAATTATTTTCTAATGATATTTTGTCTACACATCTATCTCACAAAAGTGAAGTCACCTGAAAAAATGATAATTAGACTAAGCGTATGAGTGCCAAAAATCTAGACATGAAAATCAACATATCTGTACTTGATGTAAACTTCTTAGCTTAACATACTGACTGATTATTGGATAGTGACAGATGTCGTGTTTGTTTGATCCAGTATGTGCTGTTCAACATTTATTGATCAAGTTGAAGTGTGACCACTAGTCTAAATAACTCAACACAATGTGCAATGTATTCATAATGTTGTGTTCGGGGCTAGCCGACAGGGAAATATGAACCTACGTTTCGTGATATCTCAGACTCATTACGACGAATTAACTTGGAGCACGACTTCAGGGACTAAATAGACACAAAACTAACCGGCACTATGTAATCAATCAGTTGTAAGTTTTGTAATTGCTGCCCCAATAACTCAGACTTTCGGACAGTGATAAGCAAGTTAAAACCTTTCAGGGACAGCTAGTTTTCCCTGACGATCCCAAGTATGCCTCACCTATGAGTCTTAACCAGTTCAAAACCCAAGTCAATTAGGATTTCCTGTTGGCTACATCCAATTTAATATTCTGAATTTTTTATATCAAAACAAAGGAAATAGCAGAACTGTTGATGAGTTGAATTATATTTGTATGGTCAGTAGACGATCATCATTATTACTTACTGTTTATATCTAGAAAACATCATCAGGTTTTTCTCTATGAAATTTATTTACAAAAAAATTCAAGCCTTCTCATTATATTAAATCAATTTCTTTCTGTGTTGTTCTACAAGAAAACACCAATTGTTTTAAATAAGTTAATCTGTTCAATTCCATTTTATAATATTGGTCATTTCTTCTATTATTCTGATGATTTAATTGGTTATTCTTCTATTCATTATTACAACAGATTGCTGACTGAATCAATGAAGAATTTAATGACTTATTATTGATCTATGCATAATGATATGTTACCACTTAAAAAATGACAAATGTTTCAGGGGAGAGGAAATTTTCTTTCACATTTTTGAAACCATGAATCGATCAATGTTAGACCGCAATTAGAAACCTGGAAGCACTGGATATTAAGAGCGTTAGATACCGGATCAGTGGTTCGATGGTTAGGCGTTTGAGGACAATACCGAAGGTCCTGTGTTCGAATCCTGCGAGGTGCAGGAGTTGTGGATTCGCACTGCTGAGGAGTCCCATACCAGGACGAAACGGCCGTCTTTCAGTGATTCCAGGTTTCTAATGGAGTGGTCTAACATTAATCGATTCACGGTTTCAAAAAAAATGTGTAACTTAACAATCTTCACAACCCCGTAATGGAAATTTTCTTTATCCAATATTATTTATCCTAATTCTGTACAGTCTTATATGTGATGAAGTCATTTATCGCTGCGGTTGTATCTCTATTGAACCTCAACACTGTTCTTCAACTTGACAGTGATTTATCACCTGTCTCCTTTTTCATTATTTTTATAATCATTAAGTGAATAATCTGCTTACCATTTACATTTCTATATATCCACTGATAAAACTTTCAATTCTGTTTGACTCATAGTAATCATTATTTATCTTGATTATGAACTATTATTTTGAAAATATCTCAACACAGATAATAATAATTGTTTAACACTGATATTTTCTTCTCTTGAAACATCTGTCATTTTACTGTTTTTTAACTCATTAGACTGCTTTAAATAAAAATTTAACATTATTTGTTTAAGAGATTACTAGAGATTGTTAAGGTTTTTCTTTTAAAAAAATTTGTGCATTCATTTTGGTCAGATAACCACAATTGAAAATCAGGTTGCACTGGATTAAGATGTTTTATTCCAATGTTCAGCTCATTAACATCAGTTCAGTTCTACGACTACATTAGAGATAGACTCTGAAACTAAATTTTACAAAATTACCACAAACACCTATTTGTGTAATCCAAATCAATAATAGTAGTAAAATTATACAAGTAAATGAATAACAATCAACTCTTTCATATACATAAATAGGTATTGGGTTACTTGACAAAATTTCATATGCACCTCCTATTCGATCGAAACATGTGCAATTTAATATTTTTATGTTTTGTAATTTTTATCATCATTATTATTATGATTATTATCGATATTTATCTCTGCTGAATAAGTAAATTATCATCAATAACATAATAATACCATTACACTTTTCTACATTAAAAGTCTTTTTTTTGTTTTTGTAGATTCAGTCTCATAATTACTGATTTACATATTTCTCTATAATTTTATCTTTCCTTACTAATCTGTAAATGTATATGTAGATATATGTGGTATGAGAGACATAATTTCATATACATGAACACTAACATTTACGACAGAATAGTTGTGTAGCTGCTAAATGTGCATGTAACAGCATATATATATGTATGTCTACTTCTACGCACAAACACAACTAAGTACACACACGTGACGAATATACAATGAAATTGTATACAGTACACCAGTCGATCAATGGTCATCAATATAAGAATAATTATTGACACTGTCGAAGTTTGGTTAATATGAAAGTTGCATTGATTTATTCACACTCATTTCATTTGTTCTTGTATTGATCTATTTTTGTGTCAAGGTTATACATAGATAACTGCCTAAGTTGGATTGAGTTTGTATTATTGTGTGAATAAATGAAGTTTTAGTTGATGAGACAATGCTACTATGTGTGACCCAGTGTTTTTAGCGTAATATTTAGATAAGAACATAGAAAGCATGCTAAACGGAAATATTTTCAATTAATTCACTTAAAGACTGATCTATTTTAAGATTGAAATTAATTTTTTGTTAAACATTTTCTAATTAGTAGTTTGAAAGACTAGACGCTTGGTAGGAGACCTAGAGGTCCTGGGTTAGATCTTTGGCGAGGTTGTGGATGTTCACTACTGTGAAGTCCTATGTTAAGACAGGAATGTTGAAATCATCGAGTGAGGAATTCTGGTTTTGGATTCAGGATACTAAGTAACGATGGAGATTCGGTTGACACAGTAGTTAATTTTCATCATCTAAAGTGACTGACGCTTAACTATCACCTGTTACTGTTACCCGAAATCGGAGAAGTTGTGAAATGCTACAGAATCGGTTGCATTATCTCAACCTCTCGAATTCTGAAATTGTCCCATGCTTTATTAGCCAAAGAACTCCTTCTTTCTATTCAATTCATGTCATCTATGCTGCATATTGTTTACTGTCAGTGATACTACTACTACTACTACTACTACTGCTGCTACCCTTCCAGCCTTTCAGTGTACTGATATGGTGTGACGCTTTTTACCGATATATATTTTCCAGCTGCTACATTGCCTATGAAATATTACGTTCATATTTCATTTGTCACAATACTTGTTTTAGGCGAATACAAATCAAAATTAGTAATGTTGACTCCTCTTGACTAAATTTCTCTACAAGCTGAGATAAAAATCCTGTGAACATCATCTTCAAGTATTTTTCAACATGATCATCAATGTTTGTATATTTCGCTTTTCTCTCATAATCAATACCTTGATTTAGTGATGAAGCTTAACAGTCAAATTTTTATTCATTAGATAGTAAGAGAATTTACAAAGCTGACTTTGTTCGATCATTTATAACATCTAAGTATCTTATCTTTTTATTAGTATGTTGCATATCACTGTATTGTTTTACTACATAAAATAACTTATTTTTTCTTCCGGTAGTCTTATCCTAGATTTCAAATAATTCAATCTCCTGAATACTTTTTACTCTGGTTTACATTATATCATTGTATATCCTCCTGTCAATAATCACTATCGTCTTAACTTACTTGAACAATCCAAAACACATTCATCCTAATGAATAAATATCTCTCATTATAAACTCATTGTGAAAATATTAACCAGAACAATCGATTTCCAACTATATATTGATTATGAGTAAGAACTGATGATACCGTCTGATTATTCGAGTCAAAATATACGAAGTATGAAGCTGAAACCTGTTTTCTTCTTATATTTTTATTCATCACTATTAATAACAAAACTAGCTTTAATAAAATGTGTAATTATTAAATTAAAACGGATAAAAATGAAGTTTTTGTTTGAAGACATGTAATGAAAATTACACAACACATCCTGAAAGTTTGTCTAATATGCTATTACTTTAATGCTTACACTGGGGTATGTGAGACACTTCATTCTCTCGTGTTGTCTGAGCTTTGTGAATGATTGTCCTTTCTCGATCGTTCACTTCATAGGAGTATGTTTTAACTTCCTGTACCTGAAAAAGAAACTGAATTAGTATTAGTCCTGACTACCTAGGAGCATTGATGAAGAACCCATGGGAAAAGTACTTTAGGTTAATTACACTGCTTTTCAGTGAGTAGCTTTTTATGTATTTGATCCATTCGTTGAAAACTGTGCCATCTGTGGAGATCCTTGAACCACAGTCAGATGAGTTATTTTGAAAGTTGGCCTTTTCTCTCCTCAATTTTTTGTGGCGACGCAGTGCTGCAGTAGATGCAAGCTGTCTGAGGAAAACACCTTACCGCCGTACCGTCGAAGGAAATTAGTGTTACAATTTCGTTGTTACTTCTAATCTTTACATTCCCTAACCAACCTACCTGTCTTGGTAGGATGTGAAGAAATAAGTGTTCCACCCAATATTAGTTTGACTGGCTCAGCATGACTCTTAAGCTATCAGCTGCGATAAGGAACCTGATAGCTACTACAGGTCGGGGTAACAGTTTTTCAATTAATGCTTTAACGATCACCAGATATAAGTAAGGCATCGCATTTATTCCTTAAGTCATACCCTAAATTAATTTCCAACGATCTGTTTAAATCTTTACACTATTTACCATATCAAATATTATGTTAGTAGTACTAACTAAGTACGCCTAATATATTCTCTATATTATTTTAATTTGTTTGTCATCATGGTTACTTTGATATGTTGATGCATAGGATTGATTTAGAACCATATCTATGAAAGTGAAATCTGTTGAGGATCAATAGTAATAATAATGTCCCTATTGTACGTGTCAGTTTCATCACAAATGAAATACTACTATTCAATCGATCAGACCAAAACAAAACAGTTTTCTGATTACTATTTTGAAAAGTTTATAAACCAATAATTATTGCTTAGAAATACTAATTTACTAATGCCTTTTAAAAAATTGATATATTTGGAAGTAGTATGTTGAAGTGAAATGAACAAAATTAACTTTTGATAATCTCTTTTCGATAAGACTATTACTTCTGACCTATATAAACTGCTCTCTATCATCATTAGTTTGAAGTAGGTTATAATAATGTAACTTTAATATTATATCACGTTTAGTAAGTATAATTCTAAATAGTGATCAATATCATATCAATATCTGGTTCTTCACACACTGGTGAAATTCTGTCAATTTACTGTTAATATCATCGGTAGTCTACATGACTCAACATAGGCTGAACTAAGTAGTCTGCCGGAAATCTTTTACCCAGATTTTATGATAATCGACACTCACTTTTGCTTTGTTGATTCACTTTATTCTGGTGAACACATTACAATCTTAATCGATACATTTTGATCAGCGCATCAAGGACAAGACAAACAAGACATTAGTCACTACTCACTGGTCAAGTATGATATACTAACGGTCTTGAGTGACTTATCGGTCAATTAGGAAACGCTGTCCAGTTATGAAACAGTTAACGATATAGAGCAGTTGAACTACAGTGAAATAATAGATTTGATGTTAATAATTACTCCCTGCATGTCGAATTACTCCTTATAGTGGAAGAAAAACGTTCGATGTACCTATTAGGAGTTGGGCTAATGGCACGTCTCACAACAATCGCTTCTTAGAGTTTCGTCACCAACTGACATCAGCTATAATGCCAAAACGTTAGGGTTAGTTCCGAGTTGGGTTTACAAATTATGGTTAGGATTTTCATTACAAAATATCATCAACTATGATGCAATGTCTTGTCATTCTTCCGTTTACAAACTTAAGGCACTTAGACTTAGAATTTCGAGTAAGAGTTAGAGAGAGGGAGAATATTAATTAACTTCGTTAAGTAATTAATTAAACATAAGAAGTATTTTACCATTACAATTTGCCATAGAAGCAGTTATGTTTTGTAATTTAGCTTGAGCACCATCTTAAATTCAATTTTTGGTTACATATTAATTGTTATCGATTTTAAACATTTGAAGAACTGAATATGACCAATGTTTACTTTGTCAGTAATAATAATAAACTATCTTATTTATCAAATGAATTATAAAACTCATGCTAAATGCATAAAGCGCTATCTTGATTGTGATTAGTTAACTCAAGCAAGGTCCTCGATATATCTTTCATATTATAACCATATATATTCTTCATAAAGATGTTAGTAGTAACTTTGACAGAAATTTTCATTAGTTAACAATTCATGTAATCTGTTTACTTTTTTTTAGTTATCTTATCTGGTCAGCAAAACAAATACAACGGAGTATCGAAATCATGAAGCTGATCAGCCGTCAATGGATATAGATAATATTCAATTATTAAATGAAGTTTCAAAACAACATTTACGTATTAGTTTATTGGAGGAGACTAATCGAGATTTAGAAGAGAAAATTAACAAATTAGAGGTTAGTTTTGCTGTTTTTTTGTGTGTGTATGAACGTTCTTTATCGTCAGTCTACTTTCAAGAGTTTTAATTCTTCTATAACTCTTTTATTTTGAAATAACTACTGGTCGAAAAGTGCAAACGTTTCACCCTATATAACTTCATAATCTGCTACATGAATTCGATATTATTCTTGAACTTTACTTTATCATGAATTGAGTTGAAAGAACACGTATCCAGTAGTAGTTACACCATAATGCTACAAATGAATGAATCATATGTCGCTGTCTAGGATGAATAAATAATGTTACAGTATTTAGAAAAAGACTCTCAGACAATCTTATTTATCAACCATTGAGATACTCACAGGTTAAATAATGATGATTATCGTAAGAATTCACTCAGTTTTTGGTTAAGTATTAAAAATGTTTACCTATCTCTTCTTTGCAAAACTTCTCAGATTACAGATACTCCTTATTGAGACTATAATATCACTAATTACATAGAAAGACAATATAAGTGATTATTAGTTAGTATGGAACGTTAAATAAAGTGGAAATTAACTCCGTTGGAATTCTTGTAATCCTACTGAGAAATTCATGGTAAGCTAGAAAAAAATGAACTATTATTTTACTGTAACATGGAATTCTCAGTTGCATCCATCTTTCCATCCATGACTTCCATTGGGGTCAATCTAAGGATTTTCATGTCCACCAGTAAGTGTACTACTGCAAATTACTTCCTAGTGTTCAGTAGTTGTTTATCTGAACTCGGTTCATGATATAAAGTAAAAAAGTCGTTACTATAATTCATTAAGTGTAAAACATATATATGTATATTTTTTTGTCATGTTATATGGTGTATTCAGTTCTATTGATACCTAAGCTTGTGCCAATAATACATCATGAACAGATATTCAATCTGTTGAATGAATTACCTTCAAATTACTTCACATTTATGGTAGTGCTTTTGCTTCATGTTTATTTCCATTATTTTGGAATATTCTCACACGTACTTGACAATCAAGCTCTTAAGTTACTTGATATTTTCATCTTTTCACCTTTTTCCTGGTCCTCTGTTACATAAACTCCTTATTTCGGCATAGAAGGAAATCTTCAATGAGATGAATATGGTAGCTAAGAAGAATGATTCAGTTTAACGAGTAATTTATGATCATGTAGTCAGTATCTATCAACAGTGCTCTGATCAATTAGTCAATTACTTCTTAGGCTGCTGCTATATCTTGGTTTGTCGCAATCATCTTAATTTACACCTACTCAGACGCCACATTAGTAACTGTAGGTTCATCGCTTCATCAACTCATTTATCATCTATGTCTGGTAGTCTGAGTCCGCTTTCAGAATCGTTTATTCAATTTTCCTACCAAATATCATCAACACTAGAATGAAATCTACGGTGGAATACCGACAAACGTTAGACTTCTTCTCAGTAAACAGTTTCTGTTTTGTAATTATTGGATAAATCACATAGAATTGTCAGACAGTATATTTGCTCACTATCTGATAAGTGTTCCATCAACTACGTAATCATTATAAAGCGTTTTAAACACTGGTTCTACTCTGTTATCTGTGAGTAGACAGATCTCTCTCTATGTAGAAATCATTGGTTAGTCATAACCATTTGTTTGCTTTCAGTGATTGTGATAAGAATAAACACCCTGAGAACAAGCTTACTTCCAATCTTCCTTCTCCTTCTCATCCGAATCTTTTTTTGTTTAGTGATAGTTCGTCACTTAGTATGCTTGAGGTTATTACGAGTTTACCTTAGTCGATAAACGCGAACAAGACAATTACCAGCGTCCAGGTGGGCTACCTTGAATCCGAGGCTGAAGTAAAAAGGCTTTGTAAGCGTAGAAAGTATATTCTACAAACACCCAGCAATTACAGTACAATCAAGCATACAACTCTCGTTTATTTATACATCATAGGAACGTCCTTGAGACAGTTAAGAAAATAGCACACTAAAATTTACAGCAGCCAATCACAGCCATGGATTTTCCTGGTGGAAAATGAAATCTCAAGGTCAACTGATCAGCCCATGCTGGCAAACGTGAAATCCAAAATAAGGCATTTATCAAGCCAATTTCGGGAATCTAACATCCCCAACAATTAGAAAAAATCCAGACTCACTAGCACATGATATTATCCAATCAAAAAGTAATAACTTTAAAGTATTCTTTTAGATAGAAACAAGTAGTAAGACTTATTAATATCTTGAAAGAGACTCTGATTAAACCAAGTTGTGAAACTTAAGTTGGTGTTTGAAAGTAGTTGCCAGAAAACTCTGCTTGATCTAGGCTTCGTGCTAATAAGCATTTGTCAGCAAGATTGACCTGCAATCTTGAGGGAACCTGTTATTTTAGTACGAGTTGAACTGATCCCATAACGTTGGCGGTTAATTGTTAATGAACTTATGTCATTTTTAATTGACCATTTTACAACTACTTGGCTTGACAGTTGATTAAAGAAGTCACATGAAAAATCTATTTTCTGATATGATTAGCAGAAAAGAAACAAATTGTCTCTCTGAGTCATATTTATGCAGAGAGAAGCGAAATTCAAAGAAAGCACCATTTTCTCAGGAACACTGATATCCACTATTAAATTAACAAAAGCCAAAAAGTCAATAATGTTACGTCTGTTGATCGTATTTCCTACCGGTTGATGAATTTTCACTAGATATTTGAGTTAAATGGTGAGTTGTTCATATGTATTATAGGTTGGAGGGAACATCTTTCTTATGTTATTGTGGAAAACTAAATAATTGTGGATAGTAGAGCCTGACGGTTTAGTGTCCAAACGAATCACCGCTGATGATTGTTTCATTTTATAGAGAGTTGTTGTCGATTTTTGTTCAGTTTTGTCGGTTTTTTTAGTAAGTTTATTAAGGGATTTCTTTCGTGTGTCTTTACTGTCTTCCTAATTTGTTTCCGATATGACTACAGGGAAATTGAATGCATCAATACCGTTATTCCGAAATACTTGCTAAGAATTATTTGAAGAAAACATTCAATTTATCATTAATGATTTTGAAATTAATAATTGTGTCTTTCTAATGTATATGGATGCTTATATGTTAGAAGAATGCAACAACTCTCCCAAACGTTTGTATCTTATCTGTCTACTAATTTTTTTTGCTGTTGTCATAGTTATCACTGGTCATTAAGTGGCTAGTCAGTTAAACAGTTGTGATGTATTGGGCTTATGTTGCTTTTATCTCATCGAAAATTTGACCGACCGATTAATATCATCAAAATTTTGCAGTTTAAGTCAAACACTGACTGTGCAACCTCTGGACACTAGAAGGAACTTAGCAGCTGTTCACTTCTAATTGAGAATACCTCAGTAGTAAGCATTCACGACGATGAATAATCGAAAGTTTATGCAACTAATCTTAGATGTTTTAAATAAATGTTGCTTTTTCTGAACTGAGTGATTTTATCAAGGAGTTTTCATTGTCATTCCGGACAGCGTAATTTGTGCTTCCATCCAGAAAAAATGAGTTTTCTAGTGACTGCCCAATCTTCCAATCAATTCCTTCTGATGATCCTGTGTATGTTTGGTTGTCTTAAAAAGTTTTGTTTTCTTTATCTTTATTTCTGTTCAAGTTGACAGTCATCTTCGGTTGACCTCTGATTAGGTCTGTTTGACTGACTTCTTATAGATTGATTACACTATTTCCCGAATAATCTTTGATGACTTTAATCCTGACCAGGTTTTAGAAATAGTGTTTGTTTATTTGATATTGAAAAATGAGTGCAATTTATCGAAAATCGACACCAAGTTGAATCTGAATTCAATAAACCTCAAAGTACTGATCTGGTGTTCTGGTTTAAAGAACACTACTACTAGGAGGGTGATAAATCTTGCTGACGAGTTCCAAATAAGGATGAAACACTTATTTTGGATTCCGCTATAAGCTATTATCCAAGTATCTTTAAAATATTTACATGTTTGTGACTATTTTTCTTTCACTTTTTTATCGTAAAAACTGAATTCCCTTTCAAACACCAATATGCAAAATTTTTGTTTTTCTCTACTTCTTTTTTTCAATTAAAATATTATTCGATATTAAAAGAAGGAATTATCACAACGTTCAAATTCATTGCAATTGACAAATTCATATGAAGAGTTACAAAGTTCAAAATATAACAGACAATATGCAACAATACATTCAACTGTATCTAGTCGATCAGCTACATTATCAAATAATATGAATACACTAGGTAAGTTTCAATCTACATGAACATTACTTTTCTTTCATTTGAAGTGAAAAAAGTTTCACTCTCTCTCTCTCTCTTCCTGTGTCTTTCCTGACTTATCTCTCATTGTTCATGATTTCTCGTTGTTTCGCGTGTACAAGTTGAATAGGACAAAATAATTGTTCAGTATTTTCTAGATTTTTCATGGTAATCTATCGTCAGTTTCTAATATACAAACTTTTCTCACTGAATCATACTTCTTGAATAATATCTTGTAATCCTAACCTCTCCGACTACTTCTAATACCTTTACTAACTCTTCTACTATGGGATTTGAATTGACAATTACATCTCTGTGCTGATGTGGTATGGTGACATGAACTGATGTACTTACGTACGAAGTTCTACGTTGCATCTGACTGACCGAACATACAAACTCTAAACTTCCACAACACCTTCTGTAAATGCTTTACACTATTGATCATGCACTTAACAAATAACTTGCTACAATAGGTGGCTTCTAGATTTTTAGTAAGAAACTGTGGAGTGAAGTTCAAGTCTATTGGATTTAAAATAGTTATCTATCAGTGGCATGAAAAACTAGATGCACAATACTATGAATTAGTGGAAACCATAAATGTAAATTACTGAATATCCATTAAGTAATTTGACAGTTAAGAGCTCGTCAAATAACATGGAGGTGGAATTATGTATGTGCTTCATGATTTCCAGTTGTCGAAAGTCAATTCATGATGTAAACTATGAAGCTCACGAATCCTCTCAAACGTCTGTCATTAATTAGACAATTTTATCTATTTTCAGTTATTTTATAGAGTATATTTTATTGTTCTACTTCAACAGTAACACATTTCTTGATACACACAGCTGCTCTATTCAATACCGATTAACAGTAATAAAAAATATTCATATTTATTAATGAAGGACTTTTTTTAGTATATATAACCTTTTGATCCTTATAGGGTTGTGGAGATTTTCGAGTTTCATTTAGGCCATCAACCGATCAGTCTTAAGCCGTCATTAGAAACATCAAAGCAGTGGACCTCCTGTTCGTCTTAGTATACCACCTCATTCAGATTGCGCAGTATTGTTGATTGATTGAACTTAGACATTGACAATGTTGGATGCCGGATCAGTCTAACATTGGTTGGTTCATGATTCACTAGAACTTTGTAATGAGCTGATTTTCTCACTTACCCCTCGTGAAGAGGGGTAAGGCTGTCGACCAAGTTTCTTCAACCAACTAGTCTGAATAGGTAGTCAGTTGTGCAGTAATTTTCTTTATCAAATGATGTTAGGGAGTAATCGATATCTGTTTCTCTATAGTTTAAAATCTCATCATTAGCGAAACACTTTTAAACAAAATGAAAGTTTTACAGTGAATCCTGTAAAGAGTTAATGTGTTTAAATTGGTTCAGTTGCTAAATATCATCATTACATTTAAATTAGAAAATAAATATTTCATGAATATCTTTTATTTCAATAAGTGATTCCTCTTCTTAGTCAGAAATACTACATAATCCTCTGTGTGTAATCAGTTGTGCCATCGAAATATTTATTGCGTCATTGACTAAAGTAACTTTCGATTCTTACAGTTTATTCCCTTTATGAACTTAACTTACACCAGAACAACAAATCAGACAGTCTAATATCAATTCATCATATATTGTGACTTTTCATCAGTTGCTTACAATTGTATATGTGAATAAAGTATATCAATGATCCATGATATCATATGAAAGAAACGATGGAGGGAATTAAAGTAGTAAAAATTAATAATAATGACTGTATATATATATATATATATATATATATATATATATGCATGAACAGGATTGAAGTCATCTTAAGACAGAGTTCAAACAAAAATCAGACGGAGGGGATGAGACAGTAATTAATCTTATGATTGAAATCTTGCTCACGCACAGATATACATATCCATACATATATATATATATATATAATTTTCCTTACTTTAATTCCTTCCATCGTTTCTTTCATATAATATCATAAATCATTGATCTGTAGTGAGCGAGAACACAGGTAAGGGCAACCGAATTGTACTTAACGAAAATTACAGAGTTACTCAGTAAAATTGGAAAACCATATCGTAAATTGTTCATTTGCAAAATATCAGTTCATCATATCGAACTGGACTGTTCCTGTTGCAAAACATCAATCCATTGTCACTACTATTCATGCGTTCCATACAAATTCCATTGTTTTCTAACTCTTCCTTTCTTGATCTTCCCCCATGTTCTTCTGCCAGACATTACGTTGACACTCACGTCATATACTACTTATAAGTAGCTCGCATCACAGATACACCTTATAACATACAGAGTTGTAAGCAACTGATGAAAAACCACAACACATAGTGGATTCCTATTACATTGTCTGATTAGTTGTTCTCGCCTTATTTAAATTTTTATTCTTCATCTATAAAATCAAAAAGTTTAAAACTCGTATCATTTTACATTCACAATTTTTTAAACCTTTATGAGTGATATTTATCATGAGTTGATGTCATTTGAAAAATCTTAAAATTCTTTGTTTTCATTTCTCTAACATAACGCAGAGCATGTATATTGTTAGTTCAGAAAGAAACTAACTAACAATATACGTGCTAAATAACCGTCAAATGCTCTTTAATTTTCATTTCTACTACCAGTAAGATTATTCCGTGATGAATACCAACAACAAACTTGACTAAGCAAACCCATTGGTTGGATTACTTCTCTGATGTTTTTTTCGTTAAATTCCAATAAAACAAAATAGAAGTCTTTGTAGCATATGTTTTTTTCTTTACATATTAATCAAGTGTCTTTATAAATAATTACTGTGCATGTTGTGTTAACGACCTTTTTAATTGCTTGAATTATAACAAATGTTTTGGATATTTTGGGGCACAGTTTTGGAGGTTTGCGTTTTTACACATTTGAAATCATCAATCAATCAACCATTGGAAACCTGGATGCACTGAATGACGGCAGTTTCGTCCTGATATGGGACTCACCAGCAGTTCGCATCCACGACTCCTGCTCCTCACAGGATTGGAGCCCGGGACCTTTGGCATTGTAGGCGAACGCCTTACCATCGGCCCACTGGGCCGGCATCCAACGGTGTTAATGTGTAACTCTGATTGATCTAGGGATTTTGAGCGACCTCACCCATTTGTCTTTGGTAATTACTGCCTACATCCGACAGGGTTGAACTCCATTGGTCACGTTTTGTCAACTAGAACTCCGAGAATTTCCTCACGAAGCTAGTCACTAGCTAGCAAATGTGTAAATGTTTTGGAGACAGGTTTATGAGCTTGTGGAGTAAGAGGCAGAGTGAAAATATGTCAGCCCTAACGAGTTGTGGACGAATAAGGATTCAGAGATTCTTTGGCATTTCTTTTGAAGTTTTTTAATTAACCATTTTCCAAAGAAATTCACGTCTATGCACAATTGCGTTCATTAAAATAAATCATGTTGATGATGATGGTGATGATGATAATCATAAGTCATATCATTTTAACACTGACAGTTTATGCTTAAATATTTATTAAATGCTGATTTACTGATAAAATCAGTCTGGTACACTTAAAGAACGGAACAGCAGCATTACATGCATCCATGTAATAAACTATAAATCCTCTGTAATATTTAATTAATTATTCCATAAACTAGTTCTTTTGTGTTCTGTTTTCTGAAGTATTTGAAAAAACAATAAGACTAATAATTACAGTCATCATAATTTTTTTTTATTACAATTTAGTCATAAAAGTTAATGAATGGTTTATGTAATTAATGGTAAACACACGTTTAGAGAAAAAAATTTACCGATTCTTTCATCGGCTTTATGATTCATCATAGAACAAAAAAAATAATCGTCAATGCATTTGTTGTAGCATGGTGATATGTGTTACACTGCTTTCTTCTTCTTCTTCAATTTATGTAATGTAAAAACAAAGTATAATTGAATATCTGATCATTTAGCGGAACGAATTGTATTGAAGTTTGGTTTAATTTGTAAGTATGATTTGCCACAAAATAGATCTTATATAGAATAGTGTTTGAAAATTACAAAGTACTGGATAGTTGTTTTATTTTTGCATATGACTCATTGACCAGTACATAATCAATCCTAACTGAATCAATAATCAAACCTGAAAACATTCCGTTTTTATTTGGCAGTAAACGCCTTATCATTAGAAAGAAACATGGGATTAATAGACTTTATTTCCATTAGTAACATTGGTCGATGACTAACTCAATTTGTTTTGCAGTCAGTTAAGAATGATGATCGGTAGTACCTAATTCAATTTCCGTTTCCTATGTTCAAAATACTCATAAAACATCACAGACTTTAGGTTCTTTAAATGTATAATCATTTTGTGCTTCGGCAGAACTGTAAACAAAGAAGCCACTTTCGTAAATTCAATTTATTAGATGGGTAGTAAATCAATATTTGGTCAAACTATCATCCATCATCAAAAAATATGAAATCTGTTATCTTCAATGAGCTTATTGGAAATTTATTGGAAATTCAGACTTGTATAGTTTATTTACTGATTAAGTTGATATTAAACATCTGCGATGTTATTAGCCTCACTAAAATTTTCATCAAGTTAGTTGTAAAAGAAGATTAGTTGTCAAATGTTTATTTATCGAACTAGCTGTGAACACATCAAGTATACAATTAATGATCATTCAAGGTGCTTGTATATTCCATTGTTCTTGAAGTGTATAAGTAAGGTATCAAGAAGAGATCGCACACGTCTGATATTTTCATAAATACAGATGATCGATGGTTAGCCTGATTTAGCTTCTAACTTTTAGCTGTGAAATAATCACCATTATTCAGAAAGCATTAGACAGTTATTTCATTTTCTGGAGGCTGTCTTTAGTTTTGTACATCTATGATACCAATAAAGACCGAATTTATAGCTGTCAGGTATTTCGGCGAACATTTAATATTTCGACCACGTAATTAGAATGTACTAAAAAACAAACACTACTGAAGAATTCGTTGATAGGATAAAAAATGATTGTTCAACTAAGGTGTTATGTACTACATATATTATATTTAAATAAAGTTGATAATATAAAAAGCCTATTCACAAAAGATCATGTCTGTAAAAAAAAAATTAAATTTAATTAAAACTTTTAAATGTACATATTTCTTCTTCTTCTTCTTATGTCTATTCCTACTGAGTTTTATTTAACGTGGCAATTGGCGTGTTGTTGCCAAATGTTTGTACGTTTAAAAATAATTCATTATTTTTTTATGTTATATAAAGTAGCTAGCTAGTTTGTGGGTGGTATTGTTTTTCTCTCTCTCGTCAACTTATTCAACTTCATTGTTACACATATATGTTTAACTATAAACTACCTGAATACAGATTGGTATTAATGCACTGATTTTAATTAACAAACAATATACACAACTCATATGATAACAGTGTTGTTACATTTTAAAATTTTTCTTTAATAAATTGGTAAATTTTATTGCATTATGTATTCGTGAGTTGGTGAGATTATGTGAAGAAAAATAAAACTATTTTGATTTGAATTAGTGTTAAAGTTGATAAAGATTTATGATCAAGTTAGAATTAAATATTGTAATCTCAAACTGTCTCAGTATTCTGGTATTACTTAGGTTGAATATCTTCCTGTATATGGGTGGATGTTTGGTAGAAAACTCTGAATATAGAACTTTAAGGGACTGATACATCTCAGTTTTGCTGTGATCATTGATATATTCAAATATCCGCTCATAGCACACATAACTACAGAATGCAGTGTTAAATATTAAAATACCTGTAAGGTACCAATCACAATAAATATCAAAACATTATTCCGAATACAAATTGTCTGCCAAATAATTTTCAAGTTTTAGTTGAATCTTAAGAATTAATTTTCCATTCTTGAACTCGCTTCTTATTCTTTATTCAATAATGTAATTCGCATGATGTATAGTTAACTAACGACAATACCTCACTGTTTTTTTCTACAAGTTTTAATTATTTGGTAAATTAAGATTTGACTACATTATTTTAATTAAAGGGATTAATAGAGATTGTATAATTTTAATCGTTAAAATCATGAACTGATCTTAGCTAGAATACCATTTCAAATTCCCATCATTAATAATAATCATGCGCTTACTAGTTACAAGCTTCTCGGAGTTCTAGTAAAAGTTGTGATCAATAGAATTCAAGCAGTGTCAGGTATGGGACAGTTATCTGCCGTAAGCAATGGGTAGAGGTTGCACACTACCATGGATTGATTGGAGTTAGATACCAGAATCCATTGGATACCGATTAGGTGGTTTAGAGGTTCGGCATTCCAGCACAAGGCCGAAGGTCCTGAGTTCGATTGCTGGCTATGGGATCATGAATGCGCACTACTGATGAGCCTGAAACCAATATATATATTCTATTACACTTTATTATGTCTACATTTTGACATTCATTATATTTTAAATAATTAAAGGTTATTGTTTCTTTAGACTCTAAAGAGTATAGATTTTATATACCATGTTTCTTCGCCAGATCAATATTTTTGAAGTCATTTATAAATGGAAACTAACTGATTATTAAGTGTCTTCAATATTTACAGGATATTTTCAACAGCTTCAAAGTAATATTTTGACCAATTGGTATTCATTATACTTCACATTTTAATTAACAGTTCAATATTATTTTATTTACAAAATAATCCATGGTAATAATAATGATAAAAACCTTGTTTTATTTTTTTAAACCAATTTACATTTTCATAAATCTTTATTTGATTGTATAATATGTCCATTTTTTTGATGTTGTTACGGTACGATGATCATTGTAAACCAAGTGATTGATTGACTGATTGATTTATTCTCACCAATTTCTTTCCTCCATGTTTCATATTTCTCAACAAAAAAATATTTTAGTATTTTTTATATTGTTCTTTACCTGATGAATTATGTCATTGTTTGGTTGTATTGGTGTTCACAACTTCAAATAACTATGCAATGATATGGTACCACATAATCAACATAGCCATTGACGAGTGGACTGAGCCATGTCGGTAGTTGTCGACTACCTGGTTGGGGTCGGTGAGATGATAATAATCGATGGTTAGAGACCCTGAATAACATGGCTCAAAACCGTTTGCAATGGCGCCGGTGCATTCATTCTTTGTGTTCTCTCAAATCCTAATCTTCTGGATTCTTCAACCCCTCTAGTTTTGACTTTCTAAACTTATCTCACTGAATCATACTTCTTGAATAATATCTTCTATTTCTAACCTCTCCGATTACTTCTAATACCTTTACTACCTGTTCTACTATTGGATTTGAATTGACAATTATATCTCTGTGATGATGTGGTATGTCGACATGAACTGATGTACTTACGTACCAAGTTCTACGTTGCATCTGACTGACAATATAATCACTATTAAACACATGAAGAACTGTGTGTGTACATGATACTTCTAAATCATTAAACTATCATCACTAATCGATATCAATTCATGATGATTATCTATGAATTTGTAGTTTGATTATTTCTACCACTAATTAGTACTTCCAATCCTCCGCCTACTATCAATCTGAACTTTAGCCTACCATGTGTACGCACAGTTATGTAGTGTTTATTTTTTTTCTTGATTGTGAGCATTGATTCATAAAAACTGCCTTTGACTACTTTGAATATTTTCATATATAAAATATTCATTTATATTACAGCTAAACATGACAATGATCCAATTTGAAAAAAAGAACATATTTGTATTGTTCCGATTGATGAAGTGTAACATGGGACATATATATATTCGATATGTTGAATTCAGTACATTGGATTGGTTTATTTCATGATATATCTATGTATATATAATATACTGTTTATATTTTGCGGGATAGAATGACTTTCATTGTTTCACCCTTTAAGAATGAAATATTTTTGAAACAAAACAAAACAAAAACAAAAAATAAGTATTATTTTTCTTAATATCGAAATTTCAAATTTGTTTTATGATTATTATTATTTTGGTTTTTTAATTTGTTTACATAGATGAATCATCAAGGCAATCAAATAGGGTAAGTTGGACTAATTTTCACTTTTTATTACAAAAAATAGAAACCCACAAAAAAAAACATGAAATATTGGTACTTCAGTTTATTATTCTTAATATTATTAATATTGTGGCTACTAACAGTCAATCGGTGACATTTTTTTCTTGTTAGAAATATGAAATGATTTATTTTACTTTATATATCAATAATCTAGTTTATTAAATGGAAAACGTTTTTTGACTGATCAATAAGTCCATTGGATAAGATGTAACGTTGGATTATTTTATTCACTTGTCAACTATTCAGTTAAAGACTTGAAACTCCTACTGTCTAATGTTGATTTACGAAACCTGATAACTGTACAAGTAGTTGTGAATAAATTGAAAAGCTTACTTACTTACTTACTTACTTACGCCTGTTACCCCCAATCGAGCATACGCCGCCCACCAGTTTTCGCCAACCAACTCTGTCCTGGGCTTCCCTTTCTAGTTCTTTCCAGTTTTTGTTCATTCTTCTTATGTCTTTCTCCATTTCTCGGCGTAATGTGTTCCTTGGCCTTCTTCTTTTCCGTTTACCTTGAGGTTTCCATGTGAGGGCTTAACTCGTGACGCAGTTAAGTGCTTTTCGTAGTGTGTATTCTATCCACTTCCACCTCCTCCACTGGAATCTGGTTTGTTCTCTCCAACAGTTCGTTGTTACTGATGGTGTCCGGCCAACGAATCCGAAGTATTTTGTGTAGACAACTGTTAATAAACACTTGTATCTTCTGGATGATGCCTTTCGTAGTTCTCCAAGTTTCCGCTCCATACAGTAGAACTGTCTTGACATTTGTATTGAAAATCCTGATTTTGGTTTTGGTTGAAAGTTATTTGGAGTTCCAGATATTTTTCAGTTGCTTTGTCAGTCCGCGCCCTCACATCTGCATCGGATCGACCTTTCTCGTCGATGATGCTGCCTAGATACGTAAAGGTGTTAATATCCTCCAAGACATCTCCATCAAGATTGATTTAGTTGGTTCATGTTGTGTTGCATCGGAGAATTTTGCTTTTTCCTTTATGTATGTTGAGACCTACTGCTGCAGAGGCTGCTGCTACACTGGTCGTCTTCTCTTGCATTTGTTGTTGCGTGTGCGATAGAAGAGCCAGGTCAAAATTGAAAAGCTATATATATATATATATATATATATATATATATATATACGATAGATAATTGACTGTAGATTGTTAAGTTTAACATCACAGAATGATCTTAGTTAAATAATTAATCAGTTAGATAAAAAAAATCAGCCAACAGTTGTTTTGTCAGCATTTGAAGAACGTTAGGTATTCATTGCAAATTCAATCCAATTAAACTTGCATAAGCATACATTCTCATTGTCAAACGAACACAGCTATTCAATGCTTCCTGAATTCTCAATACACATCATTCCGTTAGAGAAATTATGAAATTTAACAAGCTTTATCAATAATAAACAACTTACAATAAAAAAAACAAAAGATGACTATCATTCATAAAAAATTCTCAGTGTAATTGTTTTTCAATTCAATTCAATTTATTATTGATCCATCAAAGAAAATCAAACGATGGAGGTTGCATAATAAACTAAACGAATCGTTTACCATAAATGTAGGTTTTATTTATCACAGTGTAAAAAAGAGAAAAAAAAAATTAAATTATTTAACAAGTAATGTGTAACGGATACAAACAAGTGTACAACAAGAAAAATCAATAATTACATGAAATCTGTTGTTTTTTTCTAAAGATAAATTTAAATGTGTCAACTACAATTACTTACCATTGAACTTTCCTTTTTTTTGTTCGTTTAATTCTTACAATGCATTCATTTTTATTTTCTTCACAAAAAAATTAATCATCTTTTCTATTTTATTTGACTGACAATTTGTTTTTCGCATCAAATAGTGTGTACTTGTGTACTTGTTTCATTGTTATCAACCAACCAAATACCATATAAGTCACAATGCAATATTTATTATTCAGTTCATGTGTAGTGAACGAGAACACAGGTGGGGCAACCGAATTGTATTTAGCGAAAATTACAGAGTTACTCAGTAAAATAGGAAAACCATATCGTAAATCGTTAATTTGCAAAATATCAGTTCATCATATCAAACTGGACTGTTCCTGTTGCAAAACATCAATCGATTGTCACTACTATTCATGCGTTTCATACAAATTCCATTGTGTTCCCCCCACTCTTCCTTTCTTGATCTTCCCTCATCTTCTGCTGCCAGACATTACGTTGACACTAACGTCATATACTACTTATAAGTAGCTCGCACCACACATGCCTTAGAAAACAAAAAGTAGAAGATAGTTAGTTATATGCAACTAAATCTCTGTTTTAATTTACAATTAGTTGGGAATACGTCGTTTTATCTAAATTGAGGATTTAATTTCATTTGATCTTAAGTGAAATTTGTGCATCCTGTGCTTATCACTGCAATTTCAGACGTTATGACAAAAGTTTATTTAAGATAGATGGAATATGACCAGAGCTCACGTTTTGCTGGATTCGGGATTTATCAGACAAGTGAGGCTGGAGAGTCTTAAATGGGACAACACGGGTACAATTACTACCGGCAATCTACCTCTTCTGAACTAAACCCTACATTACAATCGGTGTTTTTCAGTTTTCCTTCAAATCTATTATATTACTGTGAGACTATATATGTAGACAATAAGTTCAAAATCTAAATGACTACATTGTCGCTTATCCTGTTTGTGCAATCCCAAGAAGCTTTTGTTTTCTTAAAGGTAACTGACATTTTCTAGGTCAGTTAATCAACTGTACTGCGAATCTTCGAAAATTCCTTTCGAAAGTCTCCTGAAGCAGAAAAAAGCTTGGAAACACCTGACTCGATCAGTATTGAACAGAAACTTTCCAGAAATATTTAGAAAAAACTAAGGGCTAAGGGTCGCAGTTTGATTGGATAGTTACTAATATTATTACAAGATTTTTCGTCACATCAATCAGTATTTCTAACCAGTATGTGATAATGAGGAGTGAATCTGTTCAGAAAGTCAATTTTTGTCAATCAGTCTAAGGACATTGTTGAACATTCATACAACTCATCACTAATCTATATTAGTTGATTGGTCGGTGTTAGTATTGAGGGGTCTTTGGACGTTGACGTTGGACTTGATCTTCTCTACACTCGAAAATTTCCTTTGGAACTGAGATCAATTGAAGTGTACCATCTAGAATGTAGTACGGTCACTATTTCAGTCTGTCTCTAACAAATGGAAACTAAAATACAGTGCTTGTGATGAAAAGCCCTTTGAATTAATGGGAAAATCGTAATCCAATCTATTAAATTCAATCAGCCCTATGAACTAGGGGGATATAACAACGGTTACTGTCTATGATGAATAACTCTCTCATACCTAATACGGTTGGACTGTACTGGTCACATCTTCTCAACAGATTTTCAAAAGTTGTATCTTGAAAGTAATCACTGGTGATTATATGATTGTTAGTAGTGTATGGGGATTCGTAGATATGGTAGAACATCCATAGTTAAAGTACCAAACTAGTCCTATTTAGACCGTATTTAAAAGCCTGGAAGCACTTATTGTTGTTATTATTGCGATTAATATTGGGTGGTCAGTTTGTATGAAATGATGATTTTTTTTCCTACTTGATTTTATTTGGTTTCTGTTTATTATTTGTATTCCAGTTGAATTATCCAACTCCATTGCGGCGTTCCCTTACTCCAGGTTAGTAAATATATATATATATATATATATGCTTTAAATTTATTCAGAGAAAATATTGCATTGATTCCATCAACAGAATTCGTCAGCTCGGATATATTGGTTATTAAATTATTCAGCAACGACAGTACACGCTTTACTTATTAATCTATTTATCTATCTGACTGGTTTAATTAACAGTCATTTTAACCTGTTTACCAATATCAAGGTTATGTGCCTAACTTCAAGCTACACAATTCGAGTATGAAAATCTCATGATTTATTGATTAAAAGTGAAGTAAATCGACTTCGAAGCCACTGCTTCATAATAAAAACATTCTCTTAGTAAATACAATGTTCTAGGCTCGAACGTTAATCGCATATTCTGTCTGAACGAATGCAATACCAGCCACTTAACTGGACAACTATAGAGAGAGAACTGATCAAGTATGTCACATATAGGTATTCAATCAGAAGTGGTCGAATGATATGTCTATTTGGTGACCATCAGCATATATTTTAAAGGAAAACTGCATGTCGTTGGTCAAGAAGAAATGGATTCCTTTTCTAAGGAAGTAGGATTTATATATTTTAATGAGTATCGGGTAGTGAAATATACATATTTTCTGCTTTTACCTTCTGGCTCAAGAAGTCAGTTTGGACGGTTAGTACGTATCAGTATCATATCTCGGACACCGTAATTCATACCGATATCTTTTATGAAATAACCAAAAATAATAATTATTTTCGGTAAGCCTCGAAATTTCCCTCACAAACGTCTGTAGAGGCTTAGAAATTCCAGGAACGTTTAATCCAATCAGCATTGAATCGAAAAGCCGCAGTAGAATCAGGAGAGTGCAGCACCACGTGCCGCAATTCTGATTAGATATTCAGCCATACTGCTACTATATTTTGTGTGGTTCTCGAACCTCATAAGTAACTTTATAAATATCCTCATTTTTCTGTACATAAACTAACTTTGGAATAAAGCGTCCATCTGGTACTTTGAGCCTTATCTCTTGTGTTCAGGTTACAGTGAAGACTAATCTGAGGTTATTAGAAGCTGATTGAAATCAGATCTTACGCTTGTTTAGCAGACCTACCAATATTGCTAAACTGAAGTAAAAATCTTTAAGCATTTAAATATATTTTTTCTTAGTGTCTCATCCATTTCTTATCAAACTGTCCATACCATGAAATGATTTTTCAAATTAAATTATTGTTATTGTTATAACTACACTATTATGCTGGTATTATATAGGCTACTTGTGTATTATTCATACACATAAGCACTATATTATATGTCACTATAGCAGTAAACAAGTATTATATCTGATATTTTATGTCATTGATCAATAAGAGTTTATCATCCATCTACAGTTCACATAATATCTTCTATCCTTTCGATCACATATTATACAATGTATGCACAAACCTATTCCGTTACATGTGTTTGCAGGTATATAGATATATATAGATGAGTGTACAGCAAGCATTCAAATGCCAAAGTGAAATATTTGTCTTCTACTTCGAAAGATTCGCTTCTTCCCGTTTTGCATAGTTTCGTTTTGTTTTGTTTTTTTTAACTAAGGGAGATTATTCATTAGGCGAAATTCATTTAGTTTTCAGTTTACTTAATTTTTACTTTTTGTTTTTAAAAACTATTCAAAGAATAATTTCTCATTAGTGTTTCTTTCCTGATGTTTACATTATACAACTTTTCCCTGGACATTGTTCATTTTCGACAGTAAATTGACGGCGAAAAAAAGTATACGATACCCGCCACACAATCGATATTCTTACAAATATAAGATACTGTTCCGATTCTACATATTACTTCCTGAAAAACAACTTAGAGAAAGAGTTATTCATTTTAAAAACAAATTAATCCCTTTTTGGTAAATGTTGATACAACAATGAAAAAACATGATCAGAAATTAGGCGCTTTACATTTTGAACAATCTAGTCACACCAACAATATACACTTGTCAAAGCATTTTATGAGAAAATTAATAAAAAGGTCAATTGCATAACAGTGCAGTAAATAAACATAAGGTGATAGTTTATGAAATAAAAAAGATGGAAAATTCACAAAGTACGGAAGAGAAAAAAGAGAGAAGAAGAAATTGTCACATTATGCTTAAGCGAAAATAGATTATCACAGTGAATTTTAAGTTGCAATAAAAATTGTTTCCATGCTTTAATATTGTCATCCGCATTTATTACTTTATCTTTTATTTCATATGTATTAATATTTTTATATTCTTCTCTTTCTTTATATTTTTAGTTACATTTAATAATAATAGTTCATTTATCAATATATCTAATCAATCTGAACATAATTTAACTGTGATACATCAGTCAATGACTGCTGGTAGTGGTACTCAATCGACTCCACCGACATCACGTTTATTCAATGATGAGAAACAATATACTGCATATAATGCACATTTATTAAATGAACAACCAATCAATTATAATAATAAATTTTTATTACCTAATGAAAATTATACTTATTTATACAATACTGATCAATTTAAATCAGCTAGTTTGAATGAATTACGTTATTCAAAAATTATACAGTCGAATGTTACAACTACTCATATGAATACTATGACTAGTTGTAGTACTAATAATATTATTTTCAATACAAATACTAGTAAACATTACTTGGCACAAAATCGTTACAGTATGAAATCTCCACCAACTTTTATGCTTAATGGTAACAACATACAAGATTCAAATAGAATAAATCTATTACCACCACAATATGGTAGGAGTTATCATCAAGAAACATATCATAATGCACATAGTCGATCACTAGCACTACCGCCAGCACTACCACCAGTAACACCATCCTCATTATCATCATCATCTCAATGGTGTCGTCAATTAACAAAAAATAATTATATTGATGGTAGACAAACATCAGCAGATTGTGCATTAAATGAACGTGTACAATTATTCAATTCACCGGATAAATGTAATTCACCAATTATACGAAGATGTACAACATCTGTACAACAACATACCAATTTGCCTAGATCAAGAAATAAGTTCATGTTATTAAATGTAAACATTCCTACAGTTTTTTCTTATGTTTTAATTGATTTGATTAATTTTTTAAATGAGTAGTATTTTAACGTCTATGATATAAGTGTATATATATATGACTTACTATGAAATTCTAAGTGTTCATTTTATTCTGTTTGATACTAGTCATTTGGATTTCACTACATTTTAATGTTGAAATTCACTATAAAATACACCTCGGTGAATAGTTCAAAACAGGACGACAGTCACCTACTAGCTTACACTGTTATTCGTATAGTAAATGTTCCATGAACTACAACATAGCTCTACATTGAGGCAGTCAGCTCGAAATGAACATAAGGGGAAGTGGAACTAGTCAGTAGCTGTACTGAATATCAACAACCAGAACTTATTAATGAGTGATGACTAGCAGGAATAGAAGCATTTACTCGTAACTGGTACTTTCTTAGTTGTAAACCTGCTGTGTTAACTGACAATCCAAGTCTTTAGACTCTTAAACTTTACGATGCCTAGAAATGTATTTCAGAGCATACGTTTCATTCTGTGAAGAACTTGTCAAGAGATTATGCGTATCCCAGGAAGAGTGGCCATAATAAACCGATCATTCTAAAAATTTCAAAGTTTACTATTGGAGTCCTAAGTTACAATTACCGTATTTCCTTCAACAGATCAAATAGCATTCAAATAAGTATGTGTATACAACTGGTTGTTCTAACTTCAAGAAACAGACAGTTGTACTGTGTTTACAAGTAAACAAATTTTCTCCAATGAATTCATTCGGCTAAATTATTTGATAAGATATTTTTCAGTATGTTTAGTGATCTGAAAAAACATTAGTCAACAGGTGGCGATTTAATCGAAGTTTTATTGATTACTTTGCTTAACTGTTTAACAAAACCTAGACTAATGAAGAAGAAATGTATTTCTAATAGAATTCTTTATCTAAAATCTCAATTTTCACTGGAACCATAATCTTCTTGATTTATTTGATGAAGACAATATACTCTTGTGTTTGGAACCATTCAAAAATTAAACCTTCATGTTCTTGTCAGTTTTTTGACGGGATAAGTAAACAGACTATACCGATTGTGACATAAAACTGGAAAGTTTTTATTTCTTAATTTTGCTTACATTAGCACAGGGACGTAATTGTGAATTCAAAACCCATAGTAGTAGAGGTAGCAGAAGTATTAGCAGTAATCAAAGAGATTATTGATCGAATATATCATTCTAAATGTATACCTTAGAGGAATCAGTTGAAAAAATAGGAAAACCCATCATTAGGAATTCAGAAGATTAGGATTTGAGAGAGCACAAAGGGTGGATGCACCTGCGCCATTGCAAACAGTTTTGAAACATGCCATTCAAGGTCTCTGACCATCGATTTCTACCATCTCGCGGACCCCAACCAGGTAGTCGGCATCTACCAACATGATTCAGCCCAATTGTTTGTGACCTCATGAATTTCTAACATGTTTTGGTTTGGCCGCCCCTAGCTTTCATCCAACCTACTCTTACACCACAAAACATCGTTCAATGAGGTAGTCGGTGGTTAGGCATACGCAACACATGTCTCAGCCACCTCAACTGATGAAGTTTCAAAACTTCATGTATTGACCTGCCATCTTTACCTAGGACCCGTTTCTCAACAACAATCGGTTGTCCGACGATAATGCTTCGAGGACACCTATAAGTTGAAGGCAAGCAACCTAAGAATATCTCCCACTCGGACTGGCCATGTTCCCCAGCCATAAAGTAGGGTAGAGCAAACTATTGCGCAGTACACTTGTCCTTTGCTTAGCAAACGGATATCTCACCAACACCCTAAATGACGCAGCTTGGCAAAAGCCAATCGAGCCTTCTGTATTCGTGCTGAAACTTCGTGAGTCACTAGTCCATTGACATTGATGAAATTCCCGAGATAAATGAAGCGGTCTACAAACTCGACTTCTTCACTCCCTATCACTAGTTCAGGTACTGATGAAACCCAATCTTTAAGCAACATTTTGTATTTCGAGGGGGAAAACTGCATCCCGAACATGCCTGCATTGTTGCATACGGTGGCCAGAAGATTCTGCATTTTGTCAGCGTCTTCACCAAGTAGGAGGACTATGTCATCGACATATCTTATGTCAACCAATGAATCTCCTGGTAGAAGGTCCACTGCTGAGAATTCAGACTTTTATCAGCCTGCACTTAAGCTGACTTCGCTCTTTGTCATGTTTTGAGCCAGATGATATGAGTTTACGAGCGTCTATCAGTTCGGTGAATGCTACTGTGACCCAAGGCTTCTTACCTCACTAGCAGATATCACTAATGTTTCCACAGCTTTATTTCAAGCTGCCTCTGGATGGAAAATCACCTACATGGCTTACTGGCTGCTTTTCTAGTTGCTCATGAAATATTTTCTTGGCTGTGCTATCATTAAGTAGCACCCTAAGAGGTTTTCTAGCGGTGTCTTTCCTACGTCCAGTAAGCCTCAGACAAATACGCGCTCGCAGTAGGGCATGATCTGAAGCTAAACATGTGCCCCACAACGAGCGACGGTCCTGTGATAAACCCCTACATCGGTGGCTGATGACGATGTGATCTAGTTGGGTTTATTGTTGGAACGACTTTGGAGGTCGCCATGTCAGAAGATGTTTTTCTTTGTGTTTAAAGTTAGTGTTTGCTAGAAATAGGCGGTCCTTTGATCATAGCTGCGGAAGACGGTCGCCATTATCTGTGCTATTAGCCGCGACACCATAAGATCCACTCAGGTGTCTTTCCTATTCACTTAGTCTACGTACTTGAGCATTGAAGTCATCAGTCATTATTAATATATCAGAGTGCCTAGCATTTTGGAGAAGGTCCATGAGATGTCATAACTCTTGTGAACGAAAACCTTTTAACTCCCTGGGGAGGGTTTAAATGGTTTGAATTACTTTTTATTGTTAGTGTTCTTTAGCGAGTTAGTTTTTTACAGGGTGGAGTAGACAACCCCAAGCCCCACCCTCCTTCTTTATTTGGGCTTGGGACAGGCAGTAGCCCCGAAATGTCTACAGGCGGAGTGATATGAAACCTAAGAATTTTCACAACTTACTTACTTAACAACTTATGCCTGTGACCCCCGTTGGAGCATAGGCCGCCAACCAGTATTCTCCAACCTACTGTGCCCTGCGATTTCATTTCTAGTTCCGTCCAATTTTTGTCCTTTCTTCTCATGTCTGTCTCCATTTTTCAGCATAATGTGTTCCTTAGCGAGTTAGTTTTCTATGGGGTGGCTTCGCCAACCCGAAGCCTAACCCTCCTTTACCCGGGCTCGGGATCAGCAGTGGCCACTTAGGGGCTCAGGGCGGGTTGAATCATTGTTTTTAGGGATATGAATCCTTATAGCTGCATAAAATCAACAATCATTAGTTTTTAGATAACTGGATCACGTTCTAAACTCAACTTTTATTATCCCACTTTTATTTCCATCTTGTGTTATATATTCAAGTAATGTGTAGAGACTATAATCAGTATTTGTATAATAACTGATGAATATTTTGTTATCTTGCATTCTTGCATTCTCGCATTTATTTCTACTAGTCATTACTTCTTACTAGTTATTTACTGTTTGTCATTTTTTTCTTTATTTGATTGCATCAAATAAATACAGAATCAGCGTAACAGTAGTAGTAGTAGTTGTAGTAGTAGTAGTAGTAGTAGTAGTAGTAATAGTATTAGTAGTAGTAGTAATAGTAGAATTTGTAATAGACGTAGTAGTAGTAGTAGTGTGAGTATTAGTAGTAGTAGTAGTAGTAGTAGTAGTAGTAGTAGTAGTAGTAGTAGTAGTAGTAGTAGTAGTAGTAGTAGTAGTAGTCATAGTAGAAGTAGTAGTAGTAGTCATAGTAGTCGTAGCAGTAGCAGTAGTAATAGTAGTAGTAATAATAATAATAATAATAGTGATTGCATGATGATAGTACTAGTAGCATTTGTATTAACAGCACTAATACTGATCACAGCAATAGTAGCATTAGTGTCATTAGCAGCAGTAGTAATATCAGTACTGGTAATTATGACTGTAGAGATTGTTATGAAGTTATAAGTAGTAGTAGTAGTAGGTTTTGCAACAGTATCAAGAATAATGAGTTGTATTGTCATCTATTATATTTATAACCAACCGCAACAAGGCAGATTACTTATGCGATTCTTTCTTGAGAATTTCCCACCTAATTTTACTACAGATATTTACAATACTATGTAATTTATGTGTTGTGAATACACAAACTGAATAATGCGTCCAATACTTCTATCATCACTGTGATTCCAACAATCTTTGCACATTATTCTTATTGTTGTGTTTACAATATAACTGCATTGTAACTAGTAACATAATGTTATCTTTAATCACAAAAAAATCCCATAATTGAAATTATTGATTCACGTTTACATAATTGTTTATTAAATAGTTTACACAATCACTGATTTACAAGCACATTTTTGTGATTTGCTGTAGCCATTTTCTTATCATTTTTTTTCCTATCAATAAATCATATTATTGTGTATATTCTTCAAATGTACTTTGTGAAACGTTTGTCTTTATTGGTTTGAGTTACCACATCGTATTGACACAATGAGATAAAATTATGAAAACAAATAATAGTAGAAGTAGTAATAGTATCAAAGGCATTGGAAAATATTAGGCACAGACGAAATGGTGATTGAAAAAAAGAATTATATTCTGGAAAAAAAGAGTTCGATACCTTGAAAACTGGAGATCTAAAAAAATATCCAAAGACTGAATTCACCCGTGTCACTGTCATCGATGTAGTAAATGTAGTAAACCAGTGGCTTAAATGACAATCACGTGATCCCCATTAAGGTAATCTCAGCCTAATAACATGGCTCAGTTCATTAGCCATTGACTGATGGCCGGTCTTGGTAAACCTCCTTCCACCTTCCTCCTAATCCACTCAAACAGTATAAACAATAAGTGTCAAGACAGTATCAGTGTGGTGTATACTACTCAAAACGTGAGTTATAAGTAGTATGCAATGTACTGTCGCTTGAAGTTGTCACTGTAGAGATGACTGTCGGATCCGAATACATGGAGCAATGAAAGTCTGTTGAAAACTAGAAGGAATGTGAAAGAAGACTGCCGTAAATCTGCTTGTTTTGTAAATGAAGTCTGAAGATATGGTGTACACATTTTGCTACTAAATTGTCTTTCACTAAATAGTTTGTCACGTCTGGTCTTAGCGTTCTAGTTCATAACATCAGTAGGCATCATGAATGTGAAACGCATGGTTTTAGACAAATAACCTAATCAGTATTTGTTTGCAAAACTATATTCAAATCTAGTAAGTGTGACAATATTTACTAAAATGTCAATTTTCCTAAATCGTTTAAGATTTTCTCAATAATGCATATTTTAAACATCATACTGACATTGTATTTGTATATCCAATTTAGGCCTCCTCCTCTTCTGCTTCGGAAAAGTATGATATCATTCAAAGTTTGAACAATTCGATAAATAATTCAAAAGGTAAACACCAAAAACATTTTTTTACTTACCAGAAATTTTCTCTAAAAGTGTACTTAACAAACAACTTTAAAGAATGATTATTTTTCCTTAGGGTTCAAATCATTTGTGTTTGTCTGCATGTGTTTCACCTGCTTCATAACTTTAGACAACTGGTACTGATGACTGTTGACTAGTATATAACATCTCTAATGATAGTCTTCAACTATCTTCAAACAATCAAAATAGTCTCATTGAAATGAATTTTTTTCATTTGTAATTAAAAAGAGATTGTCAAATGAATTTCAATATGCCAATACAGTCAATCTGTGATTACTAGTGACGAATTTTGTGAGATAATTGTAGGAGTTCTTGTGACAAACCATAATCACTGGGGTTCAACCATATCAAGCATCAGTTAGATAGTATAAGTGACAATCAATGTGAGGTTGAAGCTAGAAACACGAGTCATTAGATACTAACTCAGAGTTTTGAGTATTTTGCAAGTGACGCTTTGGACAAAGCAAGGTATACCGGTGTGACTAACCCGTCGTTTCTTGATACGGGAGATGATCTGTACATCAAACTGATCCCGAACAAAGAGTCTGAGACGTTAACTGTGCTAGATACTGGAATCGGGATGACTAAAGCAGATCTAGTTGCGTGTCTGGGGACGGTTGCTGCTTCCGGCACGAAAGCATTTATGGCGTATCTGCGAGTAGGTGCTGACATATCGATGATTGGTCAATTTGGTGTGGGTTTCTACTCTGCCTACTTAGTGGCTGATCGAGTGCAAGTGGTGACGAAAAATAATGACGACCACCAGTACATCTGGGAGTCATCTGCTGGTGGTTCTTTTACGATTGCACCAGATAATAGTGAGATGCCGAAACGTGGCACAAACGTTATACTGTACTCTAAGGAGGACCAGATGGAATTTCTTGAGGAGAGAAAACTCTGTGATATAGTAAAGAAGCACTCTCAATTCATTAACTATCCCATCAAATTAGTTGCCGATAAAGAACGAACCAAAGAAGTGTCAGACGACGAAGCTGAGAAAGAGGAGACGAAGGAGTCCGAAGAATCTGAGGACAAGCCGAAAGTCGAAGATCTAGATGAAGATGAGGAGGAGGAGAGTAAAGATAAGAAGAAGAAAAAGAAAGTGACGGAGAAGTACACAGAAGAAAAGCAGCTGAACAAACTTAAGCCTATCTGGACGCGCAACCCTGAAGATATAACTGCAGAAGAGTATGCCGAGTTTTACAAGTCGTTAACAAATGACTGGGAGGACCAGTTGGCAGTGAAGCACTTCTCTGTTGAGGGTCAGTTGGAGTTCCGGGCGTTGCTATTCGTGCCTAAGCGTGAACCATTTGATATGTTTGAGAATCGTAAGAAGCGAAATAACATCAAATTGTACGTGCGGAGAGTGTTTATCATGGACAATTCTGAAGAGCTGATCCCTGACTACCTGTCTTTTGTCCGAGGAGTCGTAGACAGTGAAGACCTCCCGTTAAACATTAGCCGTGAGATGTTGCAACAGAGTAACGTGTTGAAGATGATTCGCAAGAGCCTAGTCAGGAAATGTATTGAGTTGTCTGAAGATAAGGAGAACTACAAGAAGTTCTTTGAACAATTCTCGAAGAATATAAAACTTGGCATCCACGAAGATAGTGTGAACAGAAAGAAGTTAGCCGAGTTGTTACGTTACCAGTCAACAGCTTGTGGTGATGAAATGACAAGCTTGAAGGATTATGTGTCACGCATGAAGCCTGAACAATAGGATATCTACTACATAACCAGTGAGACGAAGCGATCAGTGCAGAATTCTGCATTTATTGATATCCATTTCTTAACAGTCGCATAAGAATACGAAAAAACTATCCACTACTGTCTTTCTTACAACGATTATCTAACTCAGATCGTTCCTTGACTTAGTACTATGAAATAATTGTATCTGTCATTGGTCAAACCTACAGCTGGATGTGCTTCATTGTAAACGTTTTAAGCATTTCAGCTTAATGCTGGTATTTTGCCCTGGAACTTAGACTCATCATTTGTCATCAAAACTTTAGAATTGAATTCTTCGTATTCTTCAAGTTTGTTTTGCAATTTGTTATCGTGTTTTAATATAGGACTATTTTCATTTTTATTCACATTACACATCATTAAAGAATATTTTAATTTTTTTAAATCTGATTATTCTAATTCTTTCTATATTTATTTTCACATTTCTTTATACACATATTTACATGATGTAGATGAAACTGGTTCATCACTGTCGAAATTCACTCCTAATGGAAAGAATCAATTTAAAAGATTGAATATTGAACGAGCGTAAGTCTAAAAAACATCAAATAAATACTCAGAAAAATATTCAATAATTGATAAATAGACTATCATGTTGTATTTTTATGATTTATACATTGGCATTTTTTTGTTGTTATATTGATCTGATTTATTCCTGTAGATGTGGTGAAGGTTGGCGAAGTATTACCACACTTTTTAGTCCAAGTCTCATCGATGTGTAAGTGCTGAATGGTGATACATCTGTAAATGTATGCATATAAATATATATTTATATATATACATATAACACTAAACACTCAGAAAACCAATTCATGCAAATTTTCAACAAACTATCATATATCTGATTACATATATTAAATGCGTACGCCCATATGCACAAAACACTGGTAAATATGCATCACAACCTTTGTTAACTGAATAATAATTGAAGACCAAGAGGTATTAGTTTTGTGATTTCTTAGTAGTGCGCATCCATCAACATGTCAGCAACTTAACGCAGAACGTTTAGGACTATCAATGAGCATATTGTCTTCAGGACAACACAATTTGTATGCAGTTTTGATCAGTTTATGATCTTGAACAATTTCTGCAAGTTTCTCATTTTAATCATAACTATGTGTTCACTACTGACCAACTTTCAAATCGCTTCCCGAAATTTTAACAAGAAGTCATTGTCAGTAGATTTTAAAGGTTGTTTAAGACAGTCATAAGTGATAGTAGGTTGGTTGAATTAATAAGCTATATCAACCATAACTAGTGCAATAAAAAACCTCCTTGCTCTGAGGGCTAAAACTTGTAATTATATTCATATTTGATAAAATGATAAATATTCATTGAATGAGATAGTTGAGATAAATATCCAACACCCTCAACTATAACCTACCTTGATATTTCGTGTTGATTGGAGTAAAATTAGGTTAAGGCAAGCGTTGGAACAACCAACCTTACAAGTGTCATCAGTCCTTGAAGTCTTTATTGTTGAACTAGGTCTTGTTGGCAGGTGTAGACAAAATGTTTAGAATCCGATTTCATCGTAAACATGACTATGATGTAATGTTACAACTTGAACTATTCAATATATAAAAACAGGCTGTTTGTTGCGAATAGAGAAAGTAACAATTGCGTGATGCTCTTTTTACTATTTTGAATAATTTTCACTGATGAAAATCATTCCATCAAATGTAAACTCATTTCAAATTGAATCATCTCTACATCATAACACTGTTGTTTTTTGTTTAATTTCATTTTCACTGGTTACTTCATCATCATTTATAACTGTGGTTACCACTTCAATAATATTGTGTTTTTTTGAAATTCCATACTTGATTCACTATCTCAATCACACATTGAGGTTTAATCATATCGTTGCTTATTTTACACATGTTCATTTCATTTTGTACTTACTTACATTAGGTGTATTGATTTCGATGTCATATTTGTGGAAGATTGCTTAGACATGATTAAGTGAATTTTTTTTAAAAAAAATTCGACTACCTAAACATTTGATTGTAAGCTATTGAACAATGAACTAGTAGCCGGATACGATTGTTTAGATTTTGAGAAACTGTTCAGTATATCTTACCATCACATACAATGAAAATATAGTTAGAGAAGGTGAATAAAATTTTTGTATATTTATAGTTGAAAAAATAGAGATTTGTCAGCAAATAAAATCTTCTGATCCATATCATATTAAGAAGCTTAAAGGATCTGTATAGGTGATTTTTTAGTTATTAAAAATCCGAAAGCACTAACCAGTTGTTTTATCCTAATACAAGGATTTCAGTTGTTTTTAACCACAGAGCTACCAAAGACCGAACCCAGTACTTTCATATCTCATGGCAGGCACTTAAACGGTACACCACTGTGACTAGGCTCAATGGTTCACACTTTTAAATTTAACGATCTGGCGATACTTCACATTCACTTTTCACTGTCACAACCTAGATAATGCCTAACACTCGACAGAGTAAAAATTTCACTGGTCATAGAACTCTGGGAATTATCTTTCGAAATGAACCACTAGGAAACGCAGTTATTTGTATTCTGCCTAAATCGTATTCCTATTCTTATAATCCAACTATTCAACCTAATTTACTAGCCTTAAATTATGGTTTTATCACTGTGAATTCTTTTCCTTTTTGACCATTTTAATTTACAAATAATTTATTTTAACTGATCCGGAACTGAACAATTTAGAACGTTTTTTTCTTTTACTTCATGTTCATTGTTACTATTGTAGTGATCATTATAATAGAGAATTCCATAATTAGTACCATCAAATACGTGTTTGTATATATCATTTTACAATACATACGCTAATTCATCTGAAAAGATTAAATAATTCAATCTATTCTGTTTTACATTACGGGGTTGTGAAGATTACTATGTTACACATTTTGAAATCATAAATCGATCATCGTTACACCACCATTAGAAACCTAGAAGCACTGGACAGCCGTTTAGTCCCGGTATGGGACTCATCAGCAGGGCGCATTCACGACTCCTGCACCCCGCAGGATTCGAACCCAGAACCTTTGGTGTCTTGCGCGAATGCTTAACCTCTGGACCACTATGAGTCCCATACCAGGACGAAATTTATTAATGTATATATATATATATATATATATATATATATTAATAAATTAGCTTAAAACAGGATACACATTTTGAAACCATGAATCGATCAATGTTAGACCACCATTAGAAACATGGAAGCACTGGACGGCCATTTGAATGATATTCTGTTTAGATTCTAACCTTAAGTCATTTATTTATTCTTCCAAAGATCTATATTCTTCAAAGGATGCTTTTTCTGGTTCCATTATCTTAACTACGGCAAGCTGTTTTCCCTATAAAAATCAAAGTTTTACTTGTTTATTGTTTTCATTAACGTTGAAAGAAAAGATGGAAAATCTTAATTAGGATAATTAGATTCTTCCAGGAGCTATTGCTGTGGTCATCAAAATTCATCGATTGATATCTGATGATTTAAGAATATTCAATTTGATTTTCAGTTTTTTCATGTATTTAAGCTAAAGAACCTTTTTTGTTATATCACAGATAAAAAGACACAACAAATCGAAAATCTTTAATGTGTCTTATTTGCGTCGTTTTGAAAGAGATTTGAACAAGACACATTAATCGATACTGCTTGTGGTATATTTTTTTGAATGTCTAATTAATACAAGCTACTTTTCATCGGTCACACTAGACACTGTGATTAGATATTGTACATGGTATATCGTTCAAAAGTTCCAAGCTCAGGGTGAAATGTAAATTCAGTACTTTCTTGATAAAATTAAATTTCCTTTTACGTGTTATGTTACACGTTTTGTATACTGTCATGTATATGTGATTCTAAGTTAGGTGGTGACATACCACAGAAAATTCTGGATCTAGATCTCTTGCCACTTTGCATTCATCAGTAAGATTTTCATGTACAACTGAGGGAAAGGATGTTGCTCGTTGATTTACGACCTGCTTTTTCCTTCTGACTAGTATGTGACGTAACCACTGAGCTAATTAGGCTCTAACTGACTTCCGGAAGAAGTGAGATATTTTTCAGTTCATTAATATAAACTGTGGTGGATGCTTATTTAATGTCTCGTAAAATATAGAAGTAGTCATAGAGATTATCGTGAAACTTACGTCCTAGATAAGAAGTTTCACGTAAACATTTCATTTTAGGACATCTACTTGTCGGTCAATTTTAGACTACCGGAAACTTAATATTTTCGCCACTGGAGATCAAACTCAGGAACTTTTTCCCCCGTTTAGAAAGCTTGACCTCTTGACCAGTGAACCAGGACCCATAGTCTTTAACTAATTGAACTTAGGCTTGCATATAACTTGTTCACTCTTTAGCGGCCTTGCCACTAAACGTTCGGACTCACGAAAGAAAGTTTCAGATTCCGATAACGCCGTTGTAAATAAACACTGATAATAAGCCCGGCACAATGACAAAGCACTCATCCATTGGTTCAAAATCTTCAGTGGTTATCGAGCTAATATCTCTTTTTGTTCTTAAGAAGGAAACTGTAATACGGCATACATTATAATCTAGTATCTGCATCTCTGTTTTTTGTTTTCAAAATTTTATTTTTTATCCAAATATAATTATGTGATTTATGGTAAATGCTTCATTATATTATTATCATTATTTTAACATGCTAGTTTCATTATATGTATTTATCTTAAAAAGCATTGTTCACTGTGTAATATATATTTTCACTTTGATTGTGCATGTACATACACTCATACGCTTGAATATAAATTATCTTATAACATTTGATTAAAATCTTATAGTTTTTTCCATATATAAAACTTTTAGTGTCCCGTGATCTGACTCCAGTTCGGACGATGAAATAAATCTTTCTTTCTGTTTCCGTATATCATGCTTAGATGAACCCTATTTGTATGACGGTGGTAGTAAAAAGCCGAATATGGATTCAACTGGATGAATTTATTTCATGCAGTTGTTCACACAGACAGACAGGAATACTAAGTGTAAAGGCAGAGAGAAGTGAAGTGCTGAAGGTGACTGAGACAACTTTATGTGATGAGAAATGACTGAGTACTCATAATCAGGCAATAATAGGCTAGATATGTAATTAGCGAAGTAATCAATGCAGATTTACACTCAAATAAAAGCAAACAATGTTACGAGCGAATAAGTGACAAGATCGAAAGATGTGTGAATAACTCGAAAAGAATGGATTCATTAATTCGTCCAAAGGGTGAGACAAGCCCTGTGGGCTCGACATATTAATGCACACACACTACAAACTCATTCCTACCATTTGTTGATTATCATTTTCACAGTCGACTAAAAAGCGTTTGATTCAATTCTGAAAAGAGTTGGAAGGAACTTCAAGTAAATGGTACTTACTTACTTACTTACTTACTTACTTACACCCGTTACCTCTTGTGGAACATATACTGACGAATAGGATCCTCTGACCAACTCTATCCTTGACTCTTCTTTCCAGTTTTTCCCAATCGCTATTCGCCCTTTCCATATCTGTCGCCATTTCTCAGCGTAATGTGTCATTCAGTCTACATTCTTTCCCTTGGCCAAGAGGATTTCAAGTTAGAATTTCGCCTCATGACTACGTTATTACAGCCAAAAACTTAAGTTACTAACACAACAAGTTGATAATAAATTTTAAAATATTTTATTACCTCTTATTCATATTTTAATCATCGTATATTAAACAATACAAATTCCGTTTAGTCTAGTAACAGGGTATTTGCACTACAATAAAAAAATTTTTACCATTAAAATTGTATGTGGTACAACAATAGTTAGTGTATAAACATATCCATCATTTTATTTAGCTTTCATTGGCTTTCACATGGTCAAGTGAATAAATCCATATCAAATGCTTTGAGTAAATCATATTCCGTACATCATCATCAATGTGAACCACAAACGAGTTCAACCGATTCCTCATTATACATAAGATCTAAAAGTATGGAACGTTATTATTGTGGTGATATGAAAAGTTCCACTATGAGATCACGTAGAAAAGCGCAAGAAACTATTCTTCCTTCTTTGACCAATAATAATAATCATGATCATGATAATGTCTCATCTAATCCTGTCAGCAATTCTTCATCATCTACAACTGTATATTTCAATTCAACTATGAATGATAAATCATCACAAATATATCAGGAATATAAACTTGAATCCACTGATAATGGCCCGTTGACGAGTAATATGACTGTATTGGATAGCAGTATATTATATAATAATGATAATAATAATAATAATATTGTGAGACAGGTATCCAGTTCATTTGATGATTACAAAAACAAACTTTCTGTCTCACCTGCTGCCAATCATGAATCGAATAAAATTACATCATCATATTTGGACAACGTGTGAGTACGTGAGAAAGTGTGTAAATGTGTAAATGTCTGTATATTTATAATAGATATGCCGCTCATATTCATCATTGTGAAAAATGACATGTCACTTAAAAAATACAAAGGGTGTAAGAATTTGTAGATATCGCTGAATAGTTTAGTTTACACCACGATATTGCCGATGGAATAAGATGATGCTTACATAAAATGTCACAAATCGGTTGAAATCCGAATTATAAATCACTGAATGTCGTTTCAGTGTTCTAAAGATCAAATACTTATCATGAGACCTGATGATCTTGAGTTTGATTCCTTGGTTAGGACATTGATTTACACTAGCTTGGAGTCGTAAGAAACATCGAATGAGTTCTTCCTTCCTTTCTAAATAAGGTCAATCAGTGATTTGAGTTATAACACTGAAACCATTCTTGGTTTGTCCTAAGTTATTAGCAGTATTAGTTAAGCATATGCTCAAAATAATGAATTTATTTTGAATGCAAGATATCATAGATGTGTTATTACAAAAAATAGTAATTGCGAAGTTTAAAAAGTTGCTAAAACGATTACTTAATGATCAAAAAATTGGTAAATACTGCTCTGTTAGTTATACAGCTTCACTCCGATAGATCTTTAGCTATCGTTGTTTGTTTGCAAGAGACCCAAATAACTTGAAGTTCAATCAAACATTTACACCTTCCTTTTTTTTCGACGTTCAATATCTGTCTAATTTTGAACCAGAGGGGTTGATAACCCATGTGTATATTACAAGAATTTACAGTTAATAATTGATTTGTAGTCTCAAGTGGCTGTCTCTGAGAATAATTCCGCAATTTCTAATGAGAAACTAAAACTACTGAATTCCAGCCAAACCGGAAATCAAATGAATAGCTCTGATGATTTGGGATGAAGGTTATACAATTGATAAGAATTGTTAATGTAACCTATTGGCGGCTAATTCAATGCATTGAACCCTAAAGATCTAATGCGTCAACTACTGAGGAGTTTGAAACTATGGAAAATCAGATGTGTCATTATGCCCTGATTTCCGATGATTGTTTGGTTTAATCCAGTCATCATTGTAAACTACTTTGTAATTAATAACATTCTATCGACTTCATTTCAATGTGAACATTTTCTAAATACAAATGTATTCACTATCAAATTAGGCTTTATTAAATTTAAAAAATAAAGAAGCTAAAATAATACATGATTAAACTAATATAATTGTCTACGAAGTTTCTTTCATATCTATAATCGGAAATAAAAGATATTTCAGCCTGGTAATTCAGCTAAGTAAACTTAATGAATACGACATACTTTATATTGCATGTTCGGTGTGTTATAAGAACAAGTATAAGCATACACACATCAATATATGCGTTTATTTGTTTGTCTATACAATCGGTTGATCACAGTATGTTCAATCATTCTTTATTGAGTCATTTTTTTCTCCTCATGAATGGATGCATTTAGTACTTTTATTTCGTTCATTTGCATGTACATCTTTTCAAATTACATATATAAATGTTGCATGTTTATATCATATTACTCTTTACTTTACTACTTATTGTTTGACAGTAATAAATTCTCTTCATCTCATACTGGTCTTAAATCATCATCCAGTGAACAACGGCAAACGTTTCAATTCGCCTATACTAAACGGTGCGTATGTTGTATTTTCTCTGTACAGTTATCATTATGTATGTGTATATGCTTTAAACTCTTGTTTTTAGTTTACTGTAATTTAGCATGTTGTAATGCATAAAATATGTGATAACTTTTAAGTTGTTTTTTGTGTTTTTTATTTAGTTTACATGAGCATGAAAATTTGTCTTGTGTTAATCATTCCCAATACTTGATTATTAGTTAGTCATCTGTTCTGTACATCTCTATGATAAGCCAATATCTTATTTGATGAAATTTCGCTTTCATTTAGTAAAAATATGCTCAAACTAGCATGTTTAGTTGTATCTACTCAAGAATTAATTCCGATTAGACAAGAGAATGTTGTCAGTAAATCCATAGGTTACCATAATCAATAAAAGCAGATTAGTTTTCAATACATCATTAGAGCTATTATCACTGAACTATTCATTTGAGATAGATAGGTCATATTTAAGCGAAATGGAAACTTTTAGACTTTTCCAGTATTGGAATGTCTGACCTTGATATGGTTATCACTTCCTCTATTTCTCACTGTAAAAGACTTAACTTTTCCATTTGGTAAAGTAATATTCCATTGTAATGATTTGGCCTAATTGTAGCTTAAAATATCATAAAGTGTTTTTACTGATTTATCATTGATGTATTAGCTATGTGATGATTGTTTAATTTGATATTTTGTAAAGCAAATTAACCTTAGTTAAACAAATATAAATAGTTAAATATTGATTCAGTAGTCTACAGGTTGAGGGTTTACCGTGTGACTTGAATATCTTATGTTCGAACCCTTCCTGAAGTCAAGGTGCACGGCTGATGAGCCCAATACTGGAAAAAAACATTAACTATTGCTCTTTGGTTTTCAGTAGTACCCTAAAAAGGACAATAAACAGGCAACGGGATTCACAAATTAGATTATTACCAAGTTTCGTTTCTTATCCGGTTAATGAGATAATTTCTCATTAACCAGAGGTCTTTCAGTCAACAAACCTATAGATCCTCCTATGTTTGCATAAGCATGTCAAAATATGCAAATGGCTTTCATTGATTGCAAGGAACGGTTGAAAACGCATTAAAATTCTAATCGTATTCGATATCCACTTTTCTCAGTCATCTCAGTATTTCTACGGTTCACTTCTACACTTAGATACATTGCTGAATCTATAAACTTCGTGTCGATTAATGTGTACATTTGTTATATCGATATCTAAGGGATGAATTCAATCAAATAATTAAATCTTGATTCATTGGTTGGTAAGGAATATTAAAAAGACTTCTAACCTTCATTTGTTTTTGTCCCTAAACATAATGGATTCTGTAAATAATATTTTGCAAATAAACAAGAACTCGCATCCTGCTGTAGTTCATTGTCTTATCTACTAACTTTCGTTCAAACGACAAAGTGAAATCTTTTAGCAAGTTATCACTAGATTATATATTTTCATCTAATATTTAATAATGAACACTTAGCATCATTCGTATCATATTCTCGTCCAATACATAGTCAATCAGGCATCATCAATGTAGATCCAGATACAGATATGTGTTGTTCCAGGTGCTAGTACCCATAATGAGATGGGAAAAAACAAATTAAATGGTAAACAAGATAGAAATACCATTTTATCGATGACGATGAAAAAGACCAAGTGTTGAAAATAATGTTGAAAATGACAGAGTATTAACCTATATGTGAAGCAAATCAAGATTTCAAAGAAGATAAGGAGTTGATGGATTCATAGCATTGTGAATGATTCTGAGCCATGTCAACCAGTCTCCAGTCACTAGACTTAATAACCGCCCTGATCTCAACTGGGTATTCTGTCCCTAATAGTGTGACTCAACCGGCGTTAACTTTGTGGACGGATGTCATGTCTTGGATTGGAAGCCCTTAACATTCTGCCAACCTACTGCAACACCACTTATCACTATCTGTCAGGGTAAGCGGTGATTAAGCGCACGTAATACATATCCTTACCACTTCAGTAGATAAATATTTATAACTTCATCAACCCGTGAGACAACTTATCTAGCACCCGATGCCAAACATTATTGCTCACTCAGCCGTTCCGCAACAAGTAAGCATTGCCTTGTAGACACTTGTGATGGAAGTCTTCCAGCCTATGCATATCTTTCACTTTCAAAGACAATGTTTTGCAGTAAGAAATTAGAATATAGCTGGCTTTAACTAAGCTAATAAGTCCTTTGACCAATAGACAGACATATTTCGTACTCCTTAAGTTAATCGGGCTGTAAAAGACTGAGTTTTCTGAATCTGTGCAATGATTTTTCAGACTTTAACTCATTCCTACAGATAAGGCTTCAGAGATAGTTTGGAAAGTTAAGATTCCCAACTACTTTCCTCCCTCATATTAGTTTAAGCACTGACCCGGACCAATCTTATAGTAACATCTGAATCAATGAAGGAGCTGTGCATCCAAAATATGAAAGCATTATCGCTTAAGACGATTAGGATCCTCTATATTTTTCAATGTATTCACAAACAAGGCTTTTTTCACATGAGTGTTCTAAGTTAACAAAAGAATTTATGGATAGGAGATCAACCCCTGAAAAGTTAGATTTGATTTTTATGATAACATTTGTAGCAAAAACAAATGAAATAAAGATCATGAGTGCCGCTGATGAACACCACTCACGGTTAATGGTTTTGTTACTAATTCGCGTTAACCTCTCACTCGAACCAAAATGTTCTCGTAGTGAGAGCATTGATGAAAATCATCCACTTCTTTGGAATCCTGTTCACTAACAAACACTGCCAAGAAATCTATTAATTAACAGAATGGAATACTGCTCCACACGGTCAAAAAATTATGACTCTAGTCATGTATGTAACAGTAAGAATGTATGTGTTATAAAACTTGATGAATATTAACTGAATATGAAGTAGCATAACAACGTTCAGATTTGTAAACTATTCTGATTTTCCAAATGTACACCCTACACACACTAGCTGTCTTTCATTGATAAATAAAATGTTATACAGAAGAATATTGCAGGCATTCAGTTAATCAAAAGCGTAAACACGAATCGATAAGTGAATTTTCAATCATTGAAATTATGTATGTCTATAATACATGTCTAACACAGTAATTGATAAAATCATATTTTTTTAAAAAATTTTTCTGATTTGTTTCCAAAAAGTCTTACGGTTTATACAAATTTATTTCTAAAATTTTTATTATTTATTAATAAGAAACAAGAAGAGAGTTCAACTTTTATGATAAAAAAATGTTTTTCCACAAAATGAAATCATTAAGAGAACAATATTTTATCTTTCTAATTTATTACTTAATATTATCTGCACAAGTGAAAACTTCATTTTGGATTAAATTATTTAAATTTGAAATAAGTCGATCAGTGAATAAGATACCATTTGTGAAATTTGAACAGTTTTTCAGTTTATTTTTTTTCATTATTCGCATTGATTTAACTAAACATATTGCCTCCATTATGCTACTGGTACTGATAGACTTATAAAACAAGCTAGTTAGTTAGTTAGTTATTATTTAAATTCAATAGCTCACAGTGGATGACCTCTGTTGAGTGTGTGTCAAGTCCTTGGTTTTATCATCCGCACCGGAACTCAGACCGATTCCGAATAGATCGAGATGTACATAATCATACTTTATGAATACACTAGTTAAAAATGAGCCTCGAAGTTTCTGCAGTTTAATATGATTGAGATATGTAATAAATTAGGAATGGTGTTAAAAAAAATGTATTTGTCCACTTTCATGTAAAGGTATCCAAAAGGAATTTACTTTACTACCCAAAGTTCATGATTGCTATGTTCTACTTTCAATCAAACTAATTCCTAATTGAGTGTCATCAAATGACCAGAATTTAATAAGAAGTATCAAAAGTTGAAAAGCGTCCGATTTTAGCTTATGAGTTCTACTTTTTGACGTTTTTTTATCATACCTTATTCATTCTGAATGGCTAATTAGTTATCAACTGTAACTGTCCAAACACTTTGATTGAAAACCTAGGATGTAATAAGCTAGTTTGAATACAGTATGTTTATTGTAATGAATTTACGAAATGAATCTACTGTCTAGAATGGACAAAATCGGAAATTCTAATTTGCTTTCTTTTTTCGGTTTATGATACAATCAAGTTTTTTGAATTACGGGGTTGTGAAGATTGTTAAGTTACACATTTTTGAAACCATGTTAGACCACCATTAGAAACCTAGAAACACTGGACAGCCGTTTCGTCCTGGTATGGGACTCCTCAGCACCGCTAGATGCCGGCTCAGTGGTCCGATGCTTAGGCGTTCGCCCACAATACCGAAGGCTCTGGGTTCGAATCCTGTGGAGTGCAGGAGTCGTGGATGCGCACTGCTGATGAGTCCCATACCAGAACGAAACGGCTGTCCAGTGCTTTTAGGTTTCTAATGGTGGTCTAACATTGACCGATTCATGGTTTCAAAATGTGTAACTTAACAATCTTCACAACCCCGTAATGCAAATTACCTGTGCTCACTAGTGACTAGCTTCGTGAAGAATCTTCTCCGAGTTCTAGTGGGAAGACGTGACCAGTGAAGTTCAACCTGTTTGGGTGTAGACAGTAACTACTACTGAAGACTGTGTATGAGGTTGCGCAACTCTGAGAATTGATCAAGTTAGACATTAACACCGTTGGATGCCGGCCCAGCGATCTGATGGTTAGACGTTCGCCTACAATACCGAAGGTCCCGGATTCGAATCCTGCGGGGTACGGTTGATTTTAGAATTCTTGATAACTGGATATTTTTCTACTTGATCCTACTAATAAATATTATTTTATTTACTAATATTCATGCAGATTTGATTCCTTGTGATTGTTGATTACAATTAGAGATTGTCCTCATTGAACTGCTTTGTGATGTGAATAATTGATCTTATGTAGATCCTTCCAGTATTGTAGATTTATTCTTTTGACTAATGTCTAATAAGCATTATAAACGTCAATCATATCAATGTATCAGTGTGATTTTTTTTTAAGATGATGTAGGAGAATAAATTTTCATGTTTAACAAGCATATTTATGATTCGCAGTTGAACTCCCTTCTTTATGATTTATTCATCAGTATGCAATGATCAAATAAATGTACTGAGTATTAATATTTACCTCAGTCTTTATCATTCAATTGAATTCGCAAATTTGCCCCTTTTTTATTATTTTAGAAATTTCCTTTCTTGGGATAAAAATATGATTTCAGCATGGTTATACAAAATTGGTTTAGGTTATACTGTTTCACATACACGAAGATGGTTAACTTCTGGTCAAGATTTAGTGAATGAATCGAAAAAATCACTTGCACAAGTAAGAATAACTTTTAATTTAACGTCCGTGTATATTGTTGAACATTGTAGAGGGAGAGAGAGTGTGTGCAAGAGAGAATTTCAGACTCTCTAGCAAGTTATTGTTTATTTAAATAAATCATGTGTGAAATGCTGGTTCATACTGTTTATTTGTAAATTTATACATCAGTACTGCGTTGTCTGAATCTTTTAAAAGTATTATTATGCATTAATTTTGCAACAACTGAAGGAAAATTTAAGGCTATTTAAAAACGAATAAAATTATTCGTTTAGATTTTCAATTCTTACTAATCATGTTACATAGAGTGAGTCAAGTTATGCCTTATTGTCAAATTTACTTGGATAAAAAAAATTGCTATCGAGTAATTTCTTCTGTATTCAATATGGATTGGGATTACTTTCAGATATAGTTGAAAAAAGAATAATTCTTTGATAAAATTAGATAGAACTGTTACGCACGCACGTAAACACGTCGTATTGATATGCTTGAACTATTACGAGTTTAACTTAGCCAATAAACGAGAACGACGATCGATGATCCGGCAACACGACAGGCTACTCTAATCCGAGTGTCCCAAAGCCCAATTGAGGAAAAAGCAAGAAGACTTGATATGAAGTAGAAGCTGTATTCTACAAGGATTCAGAAAGTACGAGATCCTATTCCAGAGCAGACTGAGGATCCGAGTCGTAAAACGTTACAGATACTGTGTATTTATACAGTTAGGTCGAATAGGAAACAACACTGAAGTATGTGACATTGAGAGTTAGGACGATCAATTTGAAATGGCCAATAGGATTAGACTTGTAAGTGATTCGATTAAAATATTGAAGGAATATCCTAACAAGCTGAGCATAATATCATCAGGTATAAAAACTGCATAACTTCAGGTTTTCGAAGAGTGATCAATGAAGATAACTATATATGGTTGCCAAATATTGTGAACTGATTTCACTTCAGTGCTCGCGCATGAGACCAAAGGTCCTTGGTTTGATCTCTGATGAAGTAAGCTGAATGCCAACATTCAGCTGATTGACGACTGACTAATAAATTTTAATCAATAAGTATATAAAAGTGTTAGTAAAATAGAGCGATCTGCAATCAATACACTTTATTTTCTTAATTTTGATTGTTTGTTGGTTTTTCGTTGTGTTTTTTCTGTGCTTTACACATGTGAATACACATTAACTCAAGGTTATTAAGTAATAAGTATGTTAGACAAGAATGTTATCTTGTATTGTTGACTGTGACCTAGACTAGGATGCAAAGAATTATGATTTTCTGGGCTGTTTAAAGATTCATTATTTATATTACTCTGATACACACATAAACTGTAACAAACTATTTTATTAAAAAAATCATGTGCTACACAAATGAAATAATATATCTATATATTGTAAGAATAAACAAATGAAAGAGAAGTACACTTAGTGTATGAACAGTCATATGATATGATAAGAGATATGGTTCAGTTAGAAATGCAACTAACAAGAGTTTATTACTGTCACAAGAATTCGTCTTACTTGAATAAAGAATATTGCGGCAGAATTGCAACTGGATTTGATTCTGTGGTTTAATTGATAACATCTTAAACCACTGAACTGCATAAAATTTCCTAGGACTACAAACAAAGATTCAGAATAAAGTGACAGAGTCTGTTTCGATTCATCTAACCTTTTTTTGAAATCATGAATCGATCAATGTTAGACCATCATTAGAAACCTGGAAGCATTGGACGGCCGTTTCGTCCTGGTATGGGACTCCCCAGCAGTGAGTAACCACGACTCCTGCACCCCGCAGCATTCGAACCAAGGACCTTCGGTATCGTAGGCAAACGCCTAACCATCGGACCAGTGTCATGTTATAAAGCTGCCATCACTCCATATTTGCTATTCAGTCAAAGAGTAGACTAGTCATGTACAATCGTTAAATTCACTCAAACGATATAAGCATCAATATGCCACAAAATTCAATCTCTCAACATAGTAATGATATATTTGACTAGTGGCAACTAGTTAAGATATAACACAGAACAGTAGTTAATACTCTGTAAAACAAAAGCTTATCATCCATCCAGTAATCAAAAAGACAAATAACATTTTTGTTTAAGATATAATTTCTAAGAATGTTTGTTTAAGTTTTTTAATATTCTGACATTTTTAATCTTTTTCTTTGTGATTCTTTATTTCCAATAATTATTTCCTGTTGATTGATTTTCAGTTAATGGATATACGTAATCCGTTACATTTGAAAAAGTTATTAATTCATATACGTTTATGTATGAAAGATCATTGTCCTAACAATAATAACCATTATAATTATGGATATTTATGTAGAAATATAGAACCACCGGAAAATTTCGATATACCAGGTAATTATTATGATTAGTTTTGTAAAATGTGTTATTTATCATCTTCTGTAGTGTACGTTGTAAGAGTAGAAAATTATTTCATGTTGATAAACTGTTTCATCAGTTCAACATAATCGTTTCATTAGTTCTCCTATTAGGTGATTGAAGATATTCTCAACACGGAGACTCATCCGCAAAGTATGCCCATGGTCTTGAGGGAACTGTTACTCCACATGAGGTTTAAACAGAGCTAACCAGATTTACAGACAGACACTACAATTGAATTATCTAAGCCTCAGTTAACCTCCTGTAAATGAGAGGTATGATTGAACGCTGAGCAATGGATTATGTCATGTTTGTTAGTCCCTACCCGAATAACTCATTTATAACCCATCAATCTATGGAACTGTGGGATGTGGGTTAGAATTTCATAGGGTAAACTCCAGTTAACCCAAGTGTGGACTTATTATTTTCTGATGTGTGTTGAATGTCGGAAACCTAGATTCGTAATTTCCTTCAGATCACATTTAACCAACTAAAATTACCGGAAGTATTTTTTTTCTGTTGATTTTAATTGGCTTAGTGTGTATGTAGTAGGTTCAAACACTTTAGAAATTATAAGTAATCGTCCTTGTATTCTGGTAAATGTTGATGTATGAAACTGTCGTCTGGCTATCGTTATAGATGCGTTACAGCGAAATGTATTGCTTTCAAATTTGCCGATGCTCTCATCACTTAATAAAAATCATATAAATTGACTAGCATTTAACGTTTGAATAATGTGCCATACGCTGTTACACAATGACTTGTATGTACAACTATTATAAAAGAATCCATAACAATAACCTTTATCTACCAGACAGATGATAGATCAGTCTTATTGAATCAGCAGTATCTTTCTTCAATATTTTACCTTATTTTTATATCAAAATACACTAATTAGTTCAAAATAAAAAAAACTTGTGTTTTTTAATCGAAATCAATTTTTGCCTTTTGAATGAAGTAAAAATTCCTGCCTCTCGTTTACAGAAATCTAGTAAAAGTATTCACTACTGATGAACTAGTCAAATTCAAAAAAGAGATTGTCGGAAAATTTCGAAAGCCAATAACATACAGCGTATATTATACTGAAAGCAAGATGTAATAACCTAATATTTTATTGTTAAATCGTTTAAAGCTGATAAACATAAAGAGACTGAAAGACGAGTATCATAGTTTTTGGAGCGCTGAAAGTAAATTTAAGGACCTTGATGTCGTAAATCGTATAACTAACTGTAGAATTATTTATCTCAAAGATTAAAAAGCATTGTTCCATTTCATTACCAACCCTAAATCTTTACTCTAAATTCTAATCTATTTTGAAAAAAAATTAAAAAATTACTTATTTTTGTCATCTGTGGTTCTAACTTGTTAGTAGTTAGTTCTACTTTATGAAGAACACATTTCGAGTCACTGAAAGTCATCACTAACACATAACCCATATAATCTTAATCATCAATAGTGTGAATTTAGAAGTACGACTACCCAAGTGATACTGAAAGTGACCTTGAGAAATCTCAACCATTTAATCGGTTTAAAAAAATGGGTTACAAATTAAAATTGATGATTATGATTATCAGTCACCGAAAATTGATATCAGTTTTAATTCGTGAGTGTTCTGTAACCAGCCATATTTCTGAGTGAATTTCGCACTAACTTCCCACCGGCTCTGATTGGTTTGTTCATAAAGCCCAGAAATTACTTAATATGCATTTCAATGGATAAAAATAACTCTTTTCCTTTATTTCTTTTTTTATTAACTGCATAGGTTGGTTAGTTGATTTGGGTTTATCATCTTATATTCCACAATTCGATAATTGTATCATTGACCCATATGTGCTAGACCAACTCACTATGGTACGTTTAATTACTTTCTGTTTTCGACTGTTTTTTTATGTGTACATGTGCTTATTATGATTCACTGTCCGGAAACGTCCATTTCAGATACACACACTTCCTATACTCTTACACATCAAGCTTTATTAATGTAAAGGTTAAGAATTGGCTAGAATGGTGTAATTGACATACTGAATTCTGTTGTACATACGTCATCGGCAGGTATATACGATTATCACTTTGACACAAAAAAGGAAATGTAGGCTGAAGTTTTGACTAGGTGTTTAATTGACTACGTGCAATATTGTATCCAGAGCATAACCTCTCAGTTGCCTCTTGGGCTGACTTGTGAACACAGGCACCAGATTTGTCAATACCTAACCAGCTGTCATCATACATAAATACACATATGAGGATTTCGGTTAACATGTATTTTCAAAAGCGTCAAGGGTTTCAATCTCGAGCCCTCAGTGTAATACCAGAAAGCTCTTTCTATGTCTTATCCCTTTTGAGCTCACGAGTACGCACTGCTACGGAATCCTATGTTGCCCAGACCTCCTATGCCTCTCAACATTATACACCTAACTAATCTCTCGATCCTTGATAAAAATTTCATGTACGACATTTGGATAATATTTTTCTCCTTATAATTTCAGGATGATTTATCGGTATTGAAAATGTCTAATGAATTACATGTACTTAGTCTACGCTGGGGCATACAAATGTTACGACATATTAATTTTGATAGAACTCGTTTATGTCGAAGTCATATGGAACAATGTAAGTAAGATAAAAAAAACTTTTTATCAACATAATATTTTACCGATTTGCATTGATACTTTTCAACAAAATATTTGTAATATATTTGAGAATACTTTCTGTCTTTCGACTGAGTGTTTTTTTTAACCACTCGACATCTTCTGGTAAATAGGATGACTAGCTTAATTTAAAATTTTTAAGTTATTTGATTTGATCATGTTGTCTAGGCAGCTGAACGTCTATGATTCAACTGTCCAGCACTTGCCAAATTCTCATTTTTAACTACAAATATTCTCCAACTCACATAGTCCTGCGTTAAAGGTTAAACTATGCTGTGCTCTCGTTAAATATATTGAAAGCTTTATGTTCAATTCTTGATGGGGTTCTAGTTGTGCACTTGTCCTAGATGGCAAGATAATATTCAGTGGTCTAGCAGTCCTTCCTGTCTAGTCAGTCCTCGTCAGAT